TATATATTTCTAAACTTAATTAATATTAGAAAAATAAGTTTTTTTTTCTCTTTTTTCTTTATTTGTTTGTTGTACAATTGTATACGATTGTAAATGTATAGATGTTATACAATAGAATTTAATACGAGATAATATTATATTTTAAGTACCTATAAAAGTTTTTAATTCAAAAAAAAAGTTTTAAATTAAATTGAGTATGCGAGAGGAATAAGTATAACAATATGATTTTTTAAATGTATATTATTATTAAATTATTTATTATGAAAGAAAAGTTCACAATAATAATCAATTTTACTTGTATACGAGTACATAATATAAACATTACACTACTATAATTTATACAATATGCACCATTCATAACATTTATGCTCTAGTACACAATATAATCATAATTCATTTAAATCAATATGATTTTAAATTGAAAAATTATTCAGGAAAATACAGGAGTTAATTAGCAAATTAGTTAATATATAAGTAAGCAGAATCAGTTATTAAACAGAATCGACATTTACTTATTTTTGATTAAATTATAATAAAATTGTGAGTGTATATACAAGTAGGCGGATATTTTTTTTAATTTTAAAAATTATAAACCTGATTTAAAGTTGTTAATATTGGAATTACATATTATATAAATTTAATGATATACATACATATAAACAAATGTGAAATTGCATATACTGTATTTATATTTTTCTTAAAATATTTGCTTGTTTCATTCGTGACTCATTCGGGTAAAACCCGGTAACAAATACAATTTTATAAGATCTCAAATGTCAGCCTCTTTATTACTATTAATGACTTCAAAAACCCTATTAAATAGACTTTAGTTTTAAGACTATTAATGTATAACTCCTATAAATATGCATAAAAATATTCTTTTGTGACAAACATCAGCAAATTATGACATCAGATATATTTTTGTTTTTCATATACAAATTCAATAAAAATAAATTTTTTTAAAATAATGAAACTAACCTGATACTATGAGTGCTTCATTTGGTCCTGTTGTATGTATATTCCCCATATTGTGAAAATCCTTTTTTTGTAGTTTTTCTTATGTAGTTTTGTTGTTTTTATTTGTTTTTATTACGTTATATTTTCTGCAAAATATTTTCTCGTTCGTTTCGATTTCTTATTAGCAAAAATCTTATTCCTTTCGATTTGAATTGGCGTCGTTTTTATATTATTTTTTTTTTTATTCTTTTATTTTTTTATTTTTGGTTTGATTTTTTTTTATGGTTAAAAGGAAGAACTGCTATGTACTATACCAATATAATAAATGAATAGAAAAAAAATTTAATTAAATAACAAGAAATAGCTAAAAGAATAAAAATTTGGAAAAAAATAAACAAAAATATTGCAACGCGCCAATAATTATGCTATAGTAAAATAATATTTTTTATTTTTTTATTTAAATATCAAAATTTTAAATTTTATTTTAATTGACAGATTTTGACATAAAAAGGAAATTCGTCATTTAATTGGTATTTTAAAATAAAATAAGAAAATTAAAAAAAAATTAATTTTCTTTTTCTTTTCCTATTGAATTTTGAAAGATTCATTCCAGTTATTTATTACTTAATATTTCGTAAATATATTTCGAAAACATGTAAGTATATTTTTATATATGTAAATTATGAATTCATAACTAAGTATTATATATACACATAACGCACTCATATGTACATATGTATGTAAATAAAATTTATAAGACAAAATTTAAGAATTTAAACAAAATTTTAAAATAAATATGTATGTGTGTGTGTATAGAGTGAAGAAGAAGCTAAAACAGGTTTGTTTATGATAAACTAAATATTCTTATTTTTTTTTTATTTTTTTATTATTAATTAATGCATATGTATACAAGAAGATAAAATTTAATAGAATTTCACACATTTCTTCTTAAATACTAATATTTATAAAGAATAGAGCAAATTATTATAAGATTATTATAATTAATTTGTGTTGTAGTAGTATGGCAATACTAAATTGTTAATAAAAAAAAAAATTTTATTTATTTAATTATGTTTATTAATCACTTCAATATACACAAAGTTTTAAGAAAATATTTATTTTTTTAATTTTTTTTTCTGTTATATTTTTGTTATACACTTTCGATTTCATTTCATTTGAATGTAATAAATATTTATAATATATTATTCTATATACTTGATTAATTATAAATTTATAAAATTAGCACTTTTCAAATATTTTATTTAAAAAAAAAAATTACATACATATACGTATAATATTATTAATCAAACAAAATTATAATCTTAGAATTTTTCTTCAATATTTTTTTTTATAAAATTTCACAAATTTTAATTACGTATAAGAGTAAAAGATTTATAATTTCTTAACTAAGAATTGCTTTATTTATTGGCTTTATTTATTTCGGACACACAAAATTATTTTTCATTAATTTTTTTTTTTTTTATTATTCTTATTACTTTTATTTGCTCTGACATCATACACACAATTACTTGTGAAATGGAATGAAATACATACATACATATATATATATATTGTGTACATATAATTATAATAAATTTCTTTATAGTTTTATACATATATGACAAACACTAAAATTTATAATTACGTGTATTACTGAAATTTTTCATTTCAAATATTATTAATAATATTAATCACTATTATTTAATATTGCATACAATAATTTTAGTTAAAATTTCCTGAAAATTTTTAATTTCGTATAATTCTAAATCAATTAAAAGCAGAACTAAATTATTATTATGAAAAATTTGAAAATTAATCAAAAATATCAAAAGGGCTTCTTTGATTACAAAAAAAAAAAATCAAGAAAAATATTATATTAATTATAACTTGTTCAATTTATTGGTATTGCTATATTTTATAATTAATTATGTATTATTTAATTTGGAATTAAAGCACTCAATGCCCACAAAGGCAATAAAAATTATTTCATTAATATTATCATTTAAAATTTGAATTATTAGAAGAATATTTTTAATTTATTATTGCGATAGAATTTGAGTTGCTCTTATGTATATACATATGTACATGTGTATATGTGATTAATAATTTTAATAATTTACATATTCGCTAATATATAAGTAAAAATATTATTATTTATTTACTTTTTTTTTACATATTTTTGTCACTAGGCACGTTTTTTTATTATCATATTTTTGTTACTACTACTATTTAATATTTTATTTATTTATATTTTTTTTTTGTTGGCTTGCACCATCACATTATAATTTTTATTTAATTTTTTTCTTTTCAAATTTAATGAAAAAAAAAGAGAGATAAGTAAGCATTTTTGTTACTTTATTTTTTCTTATAAACATAAACATTAAACATAGCTTTTAATTCTTATAATTCTTGTTTATTTTTATTTTTCATTTATACAAGTATATGTACATACATACATAATATAAAACTATATATACTATATATACTCATATTCACAATATATAAATATTAATACGAATATATAAATATAATTATATGCTTAGTAATACGTATATTTATTATAGTATATTATTAAAAAATTTACCCGCAAATATATAGATATACGTATTGAGATTAAGTATACGTATATATGTATGTGTATATAAAAAATTTAGAGTAAACTTTGAAATTTACCTGAGAACAATAATCGAAAAAGCAAAAAAAAAAAACAAAATTTTATAAGAGAAAAAAAAATATACCTATTAAAGTTTAATCTTAATTCTCTTCGAAAATTTTAATTTTATTCCTTTTTTTAAATTTAAATGATAAAATTATCAAAATACTTTATTTTGTATGAAGCTTTATATTTTAATATTTTTTTTTTGTATATACATTTACAAACACAAAAACAAAAGAAGACCAAATTTTATTTTTCTTTTTTGTACAAACAATATACAATAGCTACTCGCCCTTTACGCAAAACAAAAAACAACTAAAATTTTTAATCCACCTATAAATCGCGAGAATCAGAACAAAACTAAATTGTAAATACCTAGCCGAAAAAAAAAGTAAGAAGATATAAAATAATGAAAATGTTTGATAATAAATGTATGTATACTATAAAATATTATATTAAAAATTTTGCTATTGTGAATTGATATATTGTAGGAATTTTTCGAAAATAAATAAAAAGGACGGTACTACTACTGTCTACTGCTAAAGTAGTATACTCGTACAATTCAGTAAAGCAAAAATTAATGTTTACATTTTCTGGCTTCATAATTGTATCAAATTTGATACTTATAATTTCGAAAAATATCAACTTATGATAACCGGTATTTTTTTAATTGATACCGTGTTCGTAAATTTTTTTTTAAATGAAAAATGTTCACGGTATTACAACTATAATTTAACAAATTATTAATTTTACAAAAAAAAAAAATGATTTTTCAATTAAGAAATTTATTAAATTTTGATATACTCAACTTGCTGGAAAAATATAAGAACATATTTTGCAAATTTAATTTTTTTATACTAAAAAAATAAGCTAAGAAATAAAAATTAAATTAATAATTTATCCAAAAATTATACTAAGCCTTTATCTTAAATTTGAATTTATTATAAATTAGTTGTCTAATTATTTTACTGCAGTAAATTTACTGTCAATTAGAAAACTTAACAATCCTACAACTATTCTACAATGCGTACCATCATTATAACTTCGATAATAACGAAAAACCAATTCACAATCAACATTCACAATAACTTACTAATATGATTATGGAATAAAAATTTTATATAATTCGAAAGTTCTAATTACCCTATTAATGTTTAAAAAAATTTTTACTTGAACGAATAACAAATATTAACATATTAAAAATATTTTTTATTCAATATATTTTTTCTTAGCCTTAAAAGAATGATTAAAAATATTATTAAGTCACAGCTAAATAAATGAGGCATCTATCGGTAAATATAAGAAGTTTCATTAGCAAGTGGTTAAAATAGTATGACATCTGTCGCTATCGTCGCTTATTTGACTTCATCTTCAAAGCATTCATCTACCAAAAGTCATTCTTGCCCATTTTTAAAGTAATTTTTTAAGGGTGCCTTTAATTTCTTTATTTACTTAAAAATTTATAAATACAAATAGTAAGAATGGCTAATGATTTAGATCGATGGGTGGAATTAGTTAAAGATTGCAAATATCTACCAGAATGCGATTTAAAAAAACTCTGTGATATAGTGTGCGATATATTGCTAGAAGAATCAAATATACAACCAGTCAGTACTCCAGTAACAGTATGTGGCGATATTCATGGACAGGTTTGTTATACAAATTTATACATATAACAAAAATCCACTTTTAAACATATATTTAAAATTTTAGTTTTATGATTTAGAGGAGTTATTTCGATGTGGGGGGCAAATCCCAGATACAAAGTATATATTCATGGGTGATTTTGTAGATAGAGGTTATTATAGTTTAGAAACATTAACTAGACTTCTTACATTAAAGGTAAATTCAATTTGAAGTATGTACATAATAAGAAAAATAATAAATATTATTAGGCCAGATATCCAGATAAGATTACATTATTGAGAGGAAATCACGAATCACGCCAAATAACAAAAGTATATGGATTTTATGATGAATGTTTTAGTAAATATGGTAATTCAAATGCCTGGAAATACTGTTGTCGTGTTTTTGATCTCCTAACGATTGCTGCTGTAAGCTTTTTCGTATACTATATTTTTCGGTTATTTTAAGTTTATTTTGATATATTTTTAGTTAATCGACGAAGACATATTATGTGTTCACGGTGGTTTAAGTCCTGAAATAAAAACTTTAGATCAAATTAGAACTATTGAAAGAAATGGTGAAATACCTTACAAAGGAGCATTTTGTGATCTTGTATGGTCAGACCCTGAAGACATGGATTTATGGTAGTTTATTTTGTAAAAAAACGAAAATTTAACAGAAAAACTAATATTTACTTTGTTTTTAGGGCAACAAGCCCAAGAGGTGCTGGATGGCTATTTGGATCTCTTGTTACTAAAGATTTTATGAATATTAATAATTTAGATTTAATATGTCGTGCTCATCAACTCGTAAACGAAGGTATTAAATACATGTTTGATGATAAACTAGTGACTGTATGGTCAGCGCCAAATTATTGCTATCGTTGCGGAAATGTAGCATCAATATTAAGTTTTAAAACATCAAAAGAACGTAGTGTAAGCATTTTCAATGCTGTTCCAGATGCAGATCGAGTAATACCACCTCAAAATACAACCCCATATTTTCTTTAAAATTTAACAATTGAAGAGGGAAATAAAGGGAATAGAAATACTAGCAGAAAAAAAATATTGAAAAAATTTTCTTCTTCATAAAAAAACATTCTAAGTAAATTATTAGAAATTTTTCTTTTAGCTTAAAACAATTTTTATACAAAAAAGATGCTATATTTAACAATATAGCACAATTTAAAATCAAATATTCAATGTAAGACACATTAAATCTAAACCTAGGTACAATATACATACATATTATTATAATACGAATTATAATACAAAGTAAGAATATTTTTTATTTCTTGCCTACAGTATTCTTTTTATGTTACAAAATGAGAAAAATTATGAAAACTAAATTTGTTTAAATTATTTCAATTTAAAAATACACATACATACATATTTAAGCTTTTGGGAATCAAATATTACTGTCAAATTTTGTTTTTCATTTTAAACTATTGATCTTAAAAAACGCACATAATATTAATTTTAGAGTTTTTGTTATTAAAAGAAATAAATGTTTTGCAAAAAAAAATAATATTAGTATTCTTTCTTTATACTAGAATTATAGTTATGTAATGTATATACAAACCTAATATATAACATTTGTAAAGAAAAAAAACCTAAAAAATATTAATACTGCTTTGATTATATTCAAGCATAATCTATAGAATTATATTTTTTAGAGATACATAATCTAATTTAAATTACAAAAATTAAGATAAAAATAAAATTTTATACGAATTTCCGAATGATGTCAGCTGCTCTCAAAAAGAAAAGACTAAAAAGGAAAAATTTTATAATTTCACTTTCGATTTTTAATAATAATAAAAAAACATCTGACCAGTTAATTTTAAATCACATAAATTTCTATTTTTAATCAGCATATTAACCAAAATCATAACGTTTTTCAAACATTTTGGTAAAATATCACCAACGCCTTTTTTTGTTTCATTGTTGTGTCGGGATTTCTTTGACAAAAATTAACGAAGATCGTTAAATTAGCGAAATTAAAATAAAATTTTACTTTGATTATTAAGAAAAAAAAATTCTGATTATATAACTGATTTATAATTGCAAATGCAAAATCAGTTGAAAGTTTTTTTTATAAAAATTGGTCTCTAGTACTTATACATATTTGTAGAAATAATTCTGTTAGGTATTTAGGTGCATTCATTATTTTTATTATATTCAACCAATAATTTTAGATTTTATTATTTTGGCAAACTATATAGGTAATTACAATTTGCTAGACTATAAAACTCTAATAAATAAGTACAATTAATTCTACGGCATCGATAAGAATTATTTTAAAAAATAGAAAAAATATAAAAATATAAAGTTTAAATATTAAAAAATTATCTTTACGCCCCCTTTGTATTAAGCTAAACAGTTTTGGTTTTTATTATCAATTTCATTCAAGATTTAATTACTGATTTTGGGTCTATCAGATTAATCATGGAAACAAAAAAAATTTAAAAAATTACGTCACATAATGGTTAGTGTCACCTTTAACCTTATTTAGGTGTTATTTCTCACATGTTTTAACTTAGATATATAACATACCCACATAACTAGTTCTCATATAATAAAATTCTTTAAATTAAATCTTTATTATGAAGAAATAATATCAATCTATATAAAAAAAAATTTTTGATTAAAAACAGGTTTAATTTCTTTTTTAAATCTTCATTATTATTAAAAATAACCATAAAAAATGAATTTGATTTATTATTACTTATTTATTTTTTTTTTTCTTATTGTACAATTTTGTTAATTGGTCCGCAAAAAAATTTGTCGAATCTATTAAAGTCCAACTATATTAAAAGATATTAAAGATATAAAGGACTATACTATTATATTACATGCTTATGTACATACTATATAAAATATATATAAACTAAAAACAAATTAAAATTTGAAAGGCAACTCATTAACTTTTTATAATACCTACATGCATAATATTTTACAAACGAAATTTGAGATTTATAATTATCATTTGAAAATTCATCAGGGATATAAGGTTTCAATATGGAAATTTATTATAATGAGTACTATTTTAGAAATAAATTGCGATAATAATATAAAAACTGGATTTTCAAATTAAATATCACAAGCTACCAATAATTTAATTATTGTGGGTGGTGTTAGAAGATAAGTTGGCATCTATACGATCATATTAAACTAGAAAACGAAAGAAATAAATTTAAATAAATGTTAAATTACTTTGATTAATTTAAGTTGATCAAAAGTTGGTACAATTGTACTCATCTGAAATAAAAGAATTTTTTTATATACATATAGTTAAGTAATTGAATATTGTTTCTGAAACAAGAAAAATATTTTCCGGCTTATTTTATATTTCATTTATTAAGTCCAGGAATTACTCTAAACCTTCCACTTTCTAAAACAAAATGACTGTGTGGTGACTGAATTTTATAAGATTTTTGAAAAAAGTGAAACACGTAACACAAAAACTAGTTTCCTCACTTGAAAATTGTTATATATGAATCTATTATAGCTTCTAACATGCTCCTCACCCAGAAAATTAAAAAATATAAGATCAGAATTCTTGTGGAAGCCTTCATTCAATAAATAAATGATACTTAAACACACAATAAGTATAAAGATGTGCTTTTCATTGGATCAGTCAGATCTACTAAGTCGAATACAGACATACATCTGTATGTATATATATATCTAAATAAATTTTATTGAAACGAGTTTGTTTTTTCAAATTGTTTTTTTTTATGTAAAAATTATTTATCAAATATTTCAAAATAATTATGCATAATTATGTAACAAATATATGTATATAATGTAATTATCATATTTATGTTACATATAAGCATATATATCCATAATTTTATTAATAAATTAAATTTATGAAAGTACCTTTTAATTTATTCACAGTTGTTTCTTTAAAGAAAATTTATTTTTATTTTAAAAAGAATTTAATCGACGCATGTCAAATTATTTTTTTTATTCTCACAAAATAAAATGTTAATTTATTATTTTATATGTAAAATAACATGTATATTCCAATAAATTACATTAAAAACATTCCACAATCATTATTTTAAATTGCTTACAAGATCAAATTTATATTAAACGGTAAATCGAATCATTACAAGTGAATTTAATATTGCAAATTTAAAGAGTTACTAACCTTAAAAATGTTTAAAGTTTTCCAAATTTTGAATTCAACGAGCTTTTCCTTGTACCAAAATTATAATTGGAAAACACTTATAATTTTTAATATCTTCTAATAAATGACAAAATATAATAAAAAATTTCACATTTTTTTTTTGTGGAAAAAGGTAAAAGTAGAGTCATCTACAATTATGCATGTATTACGTCAGTTTGACTATGTATAGCTGTGTTTACACGACGACTTTTACATTAATGTAATCGTATGTCGTATAAACACAAGTTATGTCTAAATTTCGGTAGATACCCTCATATAATAAAATTTTATTGCATTAAATTGAACAATTTAATATTTGCGAATATAATTTTTAAGGCAAAATTATGTTCCACAATCATATTCGATCAGTACGATTCGGTCATGAATGATCGATCCGATTCTAAAAATCGATATTCCTGAATAATGTTTTTAACGTCTAGTTGTAATAAAATATTACGAATGTGTGACATAACACATCAATAAACTCTTTTTTAAGAAACTTGAAATAAAAAAAAATCCAATTTTTTATTCTCATATAAAAAAAAAGATCATATAAATTAAAAATTCTTTTATATTATTTTTATTAAAAATCAAAATATATGTATATGTGATAACAAAATAATATATAATTTATGTGTAAATTAAAATTTATATATTTCATAAATACTTATCTAAAATAACCATAAAAAAAGATTTTATGAACAATATATTTTCTAAATTAAATACTCTTGTTTGTTTAACGACTTGGAATTTAGAATTTTCGATTTTTTTTTTTTAATTATGCAAAATTATTCTGAAAAATTTTAATATAATGATATTAAATATTTTGATAACATTATTTTGATTATTACGATCGTGATTTAATCTTCGAAATTGAAATTAAGAATACCAATGTAAAAAATTTCTTATAATTTTAAGGAACAGGTTTTATTATAAAAGTTTTTTTTTTATTAATTTTGTGATTGAAAAAAATTCATAAAAATTTTTCTGGGAATATTTTTGATAAAAAGAAAAATAAATTCAATTTAATTTTACTGGATTAAATTTAAATCCTGTTAGAAACGTTCTATAATGGTACAAAGCATCGTTCTATTAAATATATATGTATAGACATATAAGTATTTCACTAGAAGTATAGAATTGATTTCGTTAAATTTAGACGCTTTTTTGTGGTTATTAATAGAAATTTTCTATATTTCGTGTGAAACATTAAATAAAGATTAAAGCACCTTTGTATTTTTATTATCCAAAAAAAAATTAATATAACTGTTAAAATGGCTATATAATTACTCAACTAAATATTTTAAAATTATTTCATATAGTCTCCGCATATTGAAACATATAATTATGAAAATATGATTCAAAATAAAATCCGCTCGTATATTAAATGTAATTTTCGAATTTTTGATTTTACATTCGAACCCTCATTGATTGAATTACATCGGGTAGAATTTCTATTAACTGCGAATTATATGTTTATTATCGAATTAATTTTAATTACCATAAATTGTTTACAATTTCACTGGAAACTAATAAACGCCGAGAAAATGCATGATGGTTAATGTTCCAAATTCCACATATTCCTCATAGTCTAAAATGCAACTTCCAGTTTAGCAAAAATTTTTAAATTTATCACACATTCAATAGAACCAATATGCAAATGATTAAAATTCTATGTGATCCCTCGATTAATTTCATGTTATTTCCGTAGATTAGTTAAAACATGAGAGACAAATAAAATGCCATGAAAATATCAAAATAAATATCATTTTACAAATTTATTATTTTACACCAAATTACCCTTTATGCTAAACTTGCTTACAAAATTAAATTTAAAACTACTATACACACACACACATGCACTATCATTTATGTCAAAAAACGGAAGTCCATGTGTAAACAAATATGAGAAAATAATTAAATCGTTAAAAATAATGGTAATATACAAAATAAAATCGAAAATTTATGAATCGAATATCATAAAAAAAATATAAAATGCATGTATGAATGCTGCTCTTCATATTATTACATGCTGTGCATCATAAATAAAAAAAAATTCACAATAAAAAATAAATATATGTAGGTATGTATATGGCTATACGTATGAAACAATTCTTTAATGTATTGTTGAATAAATTTTAGCAAAAAATTGCATATATCATTGTAATAACCTCTTAAGGTAGGAATTTTTGCTAAACAGTTACAAGTTATAATCATTGATAAATTGTCAGAAGGATCAAAATAATTAGAAAAATCAATTTTCTTTTGATTTTGACCCAATAATATTGCAAATCATTTGTCGTCATAAAATTTAACATAAACATGTACTTATATGTAAAAATTATTATGAATTTTTTCTAATTGTGAATATTTTTGTTATTATTTCTTATGCTAGTTTATTCTTTGTTTATTTAAAAAAACCTAATAAATTAATAGATAATTAATTCAAAATTGTAATATAAAAAAACTTAAAACAATACATTTTATAAAAGGAAGAGTACTTACCATAATATAGTAAAGGTGTTGATATTTTTTTTTATAACAACGTAAAAGAAATTCACAAATATTCTTTTCAAACAATTGTTTTATAACAAAACAGAAAAAAAAAGAGAAAAAGGTGGGCGATTCACAACGCAAACATCAAATATGGACTGAACTAGTTTCATTGTAAAACATAAATATTAAGAATAATAATATTTTTTTTATATAATAATAAAATTTTCTGGAAACCATAATATTGCAAAATATTCAATGTAATTAAAAAAAAAAAAAAATGATATTGAAAATTTTGAATTTTAAATTTGTTGTTTTTTTTTCTGTTCATTTCATTCGGAAACGGATGATGGCGCTTGCAATTGAATTACATACAATGTATATTTTATATTTCATACAGAGTTCATGGTCATTTCCAGATTTTTAATAAGAATTTAAAATTAAGATGCAAAAATATCGTTATTTTTTTGTTGTGATTTTGATGTAGAAAATTTCTTGAAAACGGCAAAAAAATTGCTCGCAACTTTTGTACCAGAATTTAATAAAAAAATACGATTTTTTTAATGTATATAAATATCTAAATATAAAATTTCGCACATTTCAACCATGGAGTACAACTTGTCCACTTATGTGAGTAAATAATTATGAACATAACAAAAAAATTTAAATAATGAAGTATTTCTAAACCCAGCAGCAAATTTTATGAAAAAAGGTCAAATATTGGTACTGGAACGTACATAGTTTTACTTATTAAAGAAGTTTTTGGGAAAACACCTTGTTTAAAAAGATTAACCTTATAATTGTAAATTAAAAAATTCTTTTGGATTTTAGATTTTATTCTTTAAAGGTTCTTATACATTTTTTACTATCGAGTGTTCACGGAATATATCACGGAATCACGGAATAAATACACCACATTAATTAAGTAGGATTCATATTTGAAATAAGAACTATAATGGAATTAATAATTGTACTAAATTCGGTTTAGATAGTTTCTGCTTGTAACTACAGAATTAAGTCTTTCTTTTAAAACTGAAATTTCACATTTCAATTGATTTTATTTAAATCCCAATTACCCACTTATTTTCCAAGAAGTATAATATTAATATTAACTTTCATTTTGTTCGCATTTTTTTATTAAATTTATTATATACATTTATTCCATTTAAGATTTTTAATAATAAAAATAGATTTTTTATTTAGTTAGATTGCAATTTATTAAATATATTGAGTATTATACTTAAATACTCAATTACAATAGTTCATTTGCAAAAATTGTATAATTATATAAATTTCTATTTTATTAAGAAAATAGAATTATTGAAATTTTTTAAAAATATTCTTTAAATAATATTTTAATTTTCAATCATTTTTCCAATTAACACAAGAAGTTTTAAATCGCTACTTAGCGACTATTCATATATAATACCTACTCTTGAGACACAGAACATTTTGAAGAGATTGCTTGTGTTCCTTTTACTTAGGCTATATGTTATAAGCCGCTCGAACTACTCCCGAAATTGTAGGCAAATGAAACGCTGTTTTAAAACTGCCTTCCATCTCAACTATACTTCAAATTTCTCGGTTTTTGTATACTGTTATACACATTTAATATTAAACTAATTCTTAATATTTTACATTATTTACAAAAATATATAAACCGTAAATGTATATATATATACATACAATTATTTACTAATTAATTTATGACTCTAAATAACCTAAAAATATAACGGTAATTACGTATGACGCTTTCAAAAAAAAAAATTTGCAAAAATTAACTTCACTCTCACGCAAGTAATTTAATATTTTTGAAAAAATTCTTTATAAAATAATTTTTAAAATAATCTAATATACTTCCATACATACATATAACTGGCAAACATACAAATACACATACGTATATACATAATATACATATATAATCAATTTTATAATGACATTCTTTTATAATTTTGTTTTTTCATTAAAATTCTCAATTTGGTCATCTTATAATTTAGCAAGCAACAAAAATATAGCAAAAAATAAAATAAAACAATATTCTAATTCTAATTACATGCAATATTAAACTTAGCAAAAATCTAAAAGAAAAAGAAGAGCAAAAATAATAATCTTAACCTTTTTTTTTTGTTTATTATTTTGTTTTAGAACTTATCATTTAAACTGAATATTTAAGTAATTCAATAATAAAACATTACTATATATGATCTCGCACCTAACGCAGAGGCATTAAAATAGCAATAACACTTTTTTTTTCTAATTATTCATTCAATTGATCATATAAATATACAGTCGGCTCGCATTTAAATGAACTAATATTATTTATTATATTAGAAAAGGCTATAAGTTTTGAGCCGAATTTTGCACATAGCACGCAGTAAGACGTAATAATAAACACGCACTGCAATTACATAAATATTTTTAGTTACGGATATTAGCTACATATTTTAATTTTTATTTTCAACAAAATTTCCCAATTATCCCATTCTAAAATTAGTACAAAATTTTAATATTTCCCAACTTATTTTGTCGAAACTATAACTTTTTCTAAAAGCAAAAAACTAACAATAATATGCCTACTCCAAGACCCATCGTAATATAATTACGAATTACGATACGATCCTAAAGAAAATGGTATTGCAAAATACGAATAAAATATTTAATTTAGCGGAATCTGTCAAAATCTATTTAAAACTTGTTTACTGTTAAAAAAAGGAAAATAAAAAAAATATTTGACACAACGAGAACCAAGATTATCTGAATTTAAAAGTAAACTAAATAATAGTGGTGTTATGAAAAAAAAAATATTTTTATTTAAGTGAGCTATTTAAACAAAAGAATGCTTTGGAAATGCAATTCGGAATAGCATGTATGGAAGAGGAAATGGAGAGATATTATTTAGTAAATATTGATAGAAAAATTTTGAAGGATTCTTTTAATCCTTTCGACATGGATGGCAATAAATCTTATTATTAATAAATTTATTTAGTATTCGCTTCAAAATTTGTGCTGTAAAAGAGAATTCAAAATTTTGTGCTTATAAATTGAGTTTAGATTCTGCCTATATGCATGTTAATATAATTGTAAGTTTACTGTATATTTTTATGTATATGTATATTTATTCACGCATATAGTATATGTACTTGTCAACTCTATATAAAATACAATTAGTTTCTTATATATCGCATCTCTATATTTAATCAAAACAACAGCCCACCTGAGTTTTTTTTTCGTCTTTTTTTTTGGTCTTCTCGTTTTTTGTGTTTTAATTTACCTGAGTCAATTTTATATATTAAGCTCTTTCCTTCCCAAAACCTATATAAAATAGTCAATCAATTGAGATTTAAGTTTAGTCTTAAAAAAAACTTTTTCTATAATAGATAATTAAAACGCGGATAAATTTTCGGAGTGTGTTTTCGCGAATATTAAAAAAAAAATAAAATAAAAAAAATTATTTATTTTTTGAATTACAAAAATTCTTAAAAAAAAAGAAAAATAATTAAATAAAAAATGGTGAGTTTTAAAAAATTTTATATAAGTTATGATTTAAATTATTCTTAAGAGGAAATTTGTTGGATTTGTACTTGTATATGTACTTGTTAAGTGTACATTTCAATTTGAAATTGAACAATTATTACAGAAAAAAAAGAGTTATTAAAGACATTTACTAAATCAAAATTAATAAGAATTAAAGATTACAAGTGATTTAAGAAATAAAATTTCTGAATAAGTGAATTTAATAATGGCATATTCAATTGCAATTTTACTCTTATATCCATATAAATATTTGGAATATGATATATGATATGGTAACACTGCCGTATTATATAATAATAGAATTTTGTTACATAAATTAATTAATGAATTATGAGTTGAATACAAAATGCTTTGATATTTGTATTAGAGTGAAAATTGTGTATATGTACTCATCAAATAATATATAATTAGAATCTATAGCATATTCAGGAATACTCAGTATGAATAAATAAAACTTTAGTATAATTAATGATAATTTGTATGGTTTGTTCACCTTTTTTTCAAGGATTAAATTCTTAAAAATTAAAATACTCAATTTTTATGAATTAACAAGACAAAATCAGGCAAATGAGTGAAATTTATGAGATTTTAAAATTTTTCGAATATAAGCAGATTTTTACATTTTATTTTCGTCTTAATAAATTTGCAATAGTTCAAAGTTTCAAACCGCATTGAACGTTTTTCTTAAGAATAAAATTTTTGAGAATAGAATAATTTTGCCAAAAAACAACAAATAAAACCCATTAATTTCTGCCTTTGGAACAAACTGAAATATTTAATGAACTCAAAAATTATTGCATTATAAATAGTAGTTAGGCTGATAGTATGCTAATAGTAAATAACTAGGCTAGTATTCTAAAAAAACTATATACACAATTTAATGAAATTCCTAAGAAATTTCAAAATTTCCTTCGACTATAAAATTTAATTTTAGTTGGTTTGTTAATCGAAAACCTTGAATATAGCCCATATATTGCAGATAAAAACGGTTTAAGTCAATTTCTGTACAGTTTTCTCTTATATTCCAATTTCAGATTCCAATATCCAATGAACGATATATATAATAATTCCGAAATTATATGTAAAAAATTTGTAATTTTTTTTAAATTAGCTATTATGCAAAATTTAAAACCCAACTAACAAAACTTAATTTATCACTTTATATAAATTGTTAAACTTTGATCATTGTATTTTACTTATAATTCCGAACTTATTCAAAAAAAAATCAGAATATTACAATTTGTTTGAAAAATTAATCTAACTTTGCAATTTATCGAAAACAAATATTTTTTGACTTAGAACGTTTTTTTGTTAAATCTATATAAAGTAATATTTCATTACACAAACACATGTCCTATATAAATACATAATATTAAAATACAATTTAATATTATCTTGTAAATCAAAAACATTTAATTATATATATATATATATATATATATATATATATATATGTATAGAAGAAAATTATAAATGTAATCAGTACATATAAGTACTTATTTACATAAATTATTACATAATATGTAAACATTAACATGCGTCTTTTAATTTATCATCAAAGTTTATTATTCAATTAAAATTTTCAATTTAAATATTTATTTAAATTTCATTCAAATCTTGTTTTATCAATGAAATTATAATTTAGTATATATATATATATATATATATATTCATATATATATATATATGAATATAAAATGATGTAATTTTTAAAATTATTTGGCACGAAAATCAAATAAAAATTTTCATTCAAAAAATCGAGATAAAATGAATCAATAACATCTTAACACTTTTGTATAAATATATATATATATATATATAAATATATATATTCATTAAGTATGTATATGAAGAATACAACAGTTTGTATTCTTTATATACCAATGTATAATAAGAAAAATTATATAATTTTTGTACCTATTGTTTAAGCAATTCTTATATACAAATATTGTGCATGTTTTTACATATAGAGTTGACCCTTTACGAATTATATGGTTATTTAAGGGAGATTTAATTCTCAATTAGTAATAATGTAGTTTAAATCTAAAATTCTTTAAAAATATAATTGTTGCTGCAGTTACTGTAAATTTTAAATAAATTATTAAGATAGTATCGAGGAGTAAAAAATTCAAACAGCACAGTTCAAAAGAATTTTATAAATTTCTATAGTATTCAAACCCCTTATAGTATATACAGAGAAAATCAGTATAGTATTCAAAGCTATATTATGATAGGTTCTTAAATTTATTTAAAAAAGAATATATTTATATATACAAAGACAATTAATTTTCTTATATAATATCATTCAAATACTTTTAAAAGAATTTTTCAATTACTAATTACACAAAATTCCCAATTTCGTCAAAGAATACATTATTTAGCGAATACTTTATTATTTACTTATACCTAATCATTTATTTAAACAATTACTCAATATTTTAAGTTCACTGCCGATTTCAAATTAAACTATGACAACAATGATTTTGAAAAAAAAAATGAAAAATAGTTTTTTGTTTAAAATGAAAATCTTAAACTTGTAAAAAAAAATATTTTATTGTATGTATGTATTTATGTATACGAGAATAAGAGTTATTTTGAGCTTTACTCATGAGTTACCCGTAATACTAGTAATACTAGTAATAGTCATAAAAGAATTTCTTTAAAAAGTTTCTCTCTTAAGTTTTTAGTTTCTATAACTATAGAGTAATTTTGTATTAAAAATTTAATAGAAAATATTAAATTTAATTTAACAAATTTGGCTTAATATGTTCTATTACTTAAATGAATTACTAAATTTAAAAAATACTACACAGTAACTAATTTATATTAATTTTGTCATATGAATCATTAAATAAAATTAAAATCATCACGATACGATAAAATAAAATGATTTTTTACCTCGATTAAAAATTTTGCTGATAGAAAAAAAAATTTGCTTAAAAATTGACTCTTATTTAGAAATTAATACTCTATTTTAAAATTCCAATTTTTGTTGCCAGTATCTCTTTTCACCTCTATGGAGATTTAATCAAAAAAGGAAAATATAACCTGAAAAATTAAAATATTTTAAAAATACTATAAAAATTACTGTAAAAAACCAATAAAATTCCTTTAAGTCAAATAGTAATTTACGGCACTATTCAATCCCATATGAATAATATAATTTTGCGCCTAATTAGCTTCTGTACTAACACAAGTAGGTACTTATTATTATAAATATTTTGCAATACAATAATAATAACATGGGATGTATAACATAATTCAAATACTTGTACATACATACATAATTCTATTTAATTAAAATAATATCATTGAAAAACTAAAAATATAAGTGTACATATTTAAAATTAATAATTTTAACCTAAAAGTAGGCAATAAAAATTATAGCATTAATTTTATGTCTCAAATCGCATTTTTAAGATTTTAATAATCTCCAATATTTATTCTGCAGTATGGAAACTGAATTATCGGAAATTCATTAAAATATTATTAATTAGAAAATAAATTTTCTAAAATTAATAAAAATTATTTAAAAATAAAATTTTATATACAGCTATAGAGTTAAATAAAAAATTTCTTGAAAGTGAAATTCATAATTTTATAAAAGGAGATTTCCATTTATAATGATTGCGTATATGCACATCACACATACATATATATATATATATTAAAAACCATATGTACAACCAAATTCATTTTTTAATTTATTACCATGATTTGATAATTTTTTTTTAGTAGACAATATTTTTTTAAAATGAATTTCTAAAGAAATACTTGAAAAATTTTTTTATTTATTTTTTTTTCTCTCTCTATTTAAATTTTAGATCCGGTTTTATTTAAAATGTGATCGATATTAATTTTTTTTTTTTTTTGAACAGAAATAATAATATTTTTTATAATTTTATATGAAAAAATTATAGATTTTAATTATTCCTCCTACTAAATATATGCGATTAATGAAAATTTTTATAAAGGATGATTAAATAAAAAAACAAAAAAAAAACATTGTCTGTCCATAATTCCATAATTGGTTAAACAAACAAAAATATTAATTGAGTGTGTGATCATTTTAAAATGTTTATTTAAAAATCAAATTCTATTTTATATATTTTTGTATACATATATATATATATAAAAAAAATTCCATTAAATTTAATACAAGTATCCTAAATTAGAGAGAAACTTTTCAAGTATAATATTTTTTTTTTTCGATTATAAATTGACCATCATAATTTAATTTTATCTTTTATATATAAATAAATACATGATTATTTTTTAAGGAAATCCTAGATTTTTTTTTTGATTTTATTAAGTTTATTCCAAAAAATAAAAAAATTAATACTTTATTATAAAAATTATTCCACAATATAAAATTGATTTCCTTTTTAAAATTCAATTAAAAAAATTCTAATTTAAGCATATAGAAATTTTTTTATTATAGTGGGTGTTTAAATAAAACCTTACTAAATTTTATAAATTATTTGTATATGTACATATATATATATATATATATATATATATATTCTATAAATAAGATTTTATCAGTGAGTAATTACTTATATTAACAATATTGTTACATAATCTTAATTAGTTTTCAATATATATATATATCGTCGGCTTGTCTTTTAATTATTCAAATTATTTGTTGTATATATATGCATTAAATGTTAATAAATTATTTTAATTACATATATGGTTATATTATACGTCACATACATAATGAACGCCAGATATATGTAACTTTTAAATTTAACATGTTTTTTATTTGTAAATTCAAATAAAATGTTACTGTTAAAATAATATCTGTAATTCTCGTTTCTATAATTAAAATACATATACATATATGTATAAAAGTTTTGTGGTGTAAGTACAAATATTTAAGATTTTAACTTAAACGCTTATAGTTGGTATTCTGTCAACACTGAAAATGCAGTCAACGCTTCACTTTCGTATGTTGAATTGTTAAAGATTTAAAAAATTTTGACAATTACAAAAATTTACATTTAAAAATTGAATTACATTTTCCAATTTGAAAATTTAGTTTTAGAAAAGGAATTTTCTGTACTACTATGGTGTTTTAAATTCAATACTTTAAAAATTATGGTATTCAGAGAAATTTCATACTTAATTTCTTTCTCGACTCTATATTGAAGAGGTAATTAGACAAAGGGATTAACTAACATTTTTATGAAAATTGAGCTTTTCGTATAGAACATCATTCAGTTGCATATATTTTGAACTGTGATTATTCTTATAGCTAGAAACTTAATAGAAACCGAGATTAAACAGTGCATATAGGAGATAAGTAACAAAAAAATTAATAGTTTAACAGTTTGTCAATGTTTTTCATGTGTTACAATGCAAATGTAAATTAACTCCTTTGTCCACACGCTTTAATTATAAAAATTGTTTTGGGAAACGTATTGTGAATATAAGAACTTATAACTATTTTAAGTGCTCTAACATTAATTACATTTGTTTTTGATGAAGCTGAGAGCGTTGTTTCGCTTACTTATGATCGCTTTCAATAAAGCAAGAATTGTTTTTTAATAAGTTCAAGAATTTAAATATAGCTCCATCACAATTCATACATATATATTTTTATTTAATTTAAAAAATATCACATAATAAGGAAATGAAAATCAAATGAAAATTTTTCAATTAATAATTTTAATTAAATGAACTTTGCAGTCGTACTATTATATGAATAAATTAATGTTGTGTAGGTGCACTAGAAAAAATTGCAAGTATACTTATTAATAGAAAAATATTTTGTTTTTTTTTTTTTTATTATGTAAGACTCATACAATGTAATATATGTGTGTATGCATTATTAAAATGTTTTCCAAACTATGTAAATAAAATAACAACTGTTGTTTACAAACAATAATATATACCCACATGTCCTATGTACTATAAGTATATATGAATTATAGAAAATTCATAAATATAATATTTTTTTTTACAAAAATATCCGGATATTAAAATGGAAAACAAAAAATTAAAAAAAAAACGGGGTGTGATCATTATTATTAAAGAATAATTTATTCAAAATTAATACACCTCTTTAATGCTCTAAATTATATACACGTCGCATTTATTACTAATTCCTTTAGAATTTAGATTAAAAGAATTAATTTAATATAAAAATAGAATGCATATTTATTTTACTAAAAATAACCTATGTATTTACGTTAACATAAATAAAAAAACATTTCAATTTCAATATGTTATTCTGTCCCATATTCTACTATGTTCCATTTTTGAAATATTGAAAGTAAAATCCTAATGTCAAATAAATTGAAATTCTATTTTCATGACAGAGAAATTATTTAATTAAATCAATTTAACTGAATAATAAAATTTAATTATTAGTGCTGATAGAGGAAGTAAAAGAACAAAAATATTTTCAAAAAAATTTTAATTAAAAATACATGATTAGGATTAAAACAATTTTCTGGAATTTAAACAACTTGAACCTACATATATTCAAAATTGGAATTTAAATTATTGATGCTGGATTTATTTAACTCAATTTTTTAAATTAAAATTTATAAATAAATAATTTATTTTAATTTAATATAAAATTTTATAATTTTCAATTTCAGATTTGTTCATCAAATCGATTAATTTTATTAACATTATTGACGGTATCAACATTTGCTGTTAATGTATTAGGTACGGCTATAAGTGAAAAACTTTTAGATAAAATTATAATAGAAGCAACAACATCAACACCAAATACTGATAATACTGTTACTTCCAAGGATTTAAATTCTGATATAATTTTATCAAATAATGATAATACATCTTTGACACCTGCCGTTTCATCTACAAATAATAATAATAATAAAAATAATGATGATGATGTTGTTGTTGCTGAATTTCTTATAAAAGATTCAAATCCAAAACGAAAACGATGTATTAATTGTTCATATCGACGTGTTTATTATACATATCCTAATGGAAGAGTTGTTGAAAGAGTTATAGATAGTAATCCATCTGGAAGAAGTCTTCAATATGGTATAATATAAACTATAAAGAAGAATTTTTGAGAAATTATTTGTATTTCTCAAATTATGTGCACCAAAAAATTTAAATGCACACCATATACATGTGAATGCACAAAATTCTATTATATGCATGTACATATATGTATGTTGCACTTAATTAATTGTATTTTCTGGCAAAAGGAAAAATATAATTCATTTATATTATAATATGTGCTAATAAAAAATATTATATAATATATTTTCTTTTATATAAAATAATGTGAAAGAAAGCTAAGAGCACATAAAAAATCTTTTGCCTATTTAATAATTAATTGTTTTTTTTTTAAGTTGAAAACTGTTATATAGCAAAAAATTGTTTGTCACTAACTTATATTATTCACTATAAAAGAGCACATAAAATCTTAATAATTATCTAACAAAATATTGTATAATAATGAATTTGTGTTTTCTATATTTATATACAGAAAGTTCTCTTTTTAATTATAATAATTATGAGAACAGTTCGTATATGTTTAGTTTTTCTTTAGGTATTTATATATGTATGTATATTCTTCCAAAAGTTTATTAATACATCAGTTATAAAATCTCTTCGAAAATATTCTTCAATTTTCGTAATATATTTAAGTCTCATATCCATAACTCATTAAAATATTTTTTTCTAATTTTACGAACCCATTCAATTACATTTTTATTGAGTTTAGTTTTATTTTTGAAACGGCCATGACAATTTTGTAATTTATTGGAGATTTTTTAATTGAATTTTATCCGACTTCATTTAAAAACTTTTTTAAATTCTTATTTCAAATTTTCTTTATTTAATCTTCGTTTGTCTGCGTTCCTTTTTCATCTTCGTTTCTTCTATAATTATTTAAAATTCATTACTTTTATAATAAGCCTTCTCTAAAAATCTATAATATTTTCTAATTTCCTGACTCTTTTTATTCCAATATTTAAATTACAAAATCGCAACTCCTCGTATTCGTAAATATGAAAAAGAAATTATAATTAAAATAAGTTTTAAAGTACAAAACAAAAAAATATTAATAATATTAATAATTTAAATTTTTTTTTTATTTGTTTTTAATATATACACACACTTTAATGTAAATTAAACTCGATAAATTAAAAAAAAAATCATCAAAATTCATTTACATATAAAAAATTTATGCACTTTAAAATCACAACAATATCACACATAAAACTAACAAAAGGTATTTTAAATAAACGTCAATCCAAACGTATAGCACAAGGAGGTTGTGGACCAGGTGTTTGTGGAACTTTAGCATCATGTAGAGAAGGTATGTTATAAAAATTATATTATATTTTATAAAATATTAAATAATTAATATTTTATTAATGAAAATTTATAGTTGGCGGCAGACCAGTTTGCTCTTGTCCACCAGGCTATGAAGGAAATCCTTTAACACATTGTTCAAGACCAGAATGTTTAGATCATATTGAATGTCCATTAAGTTTAGCTTGTAAAAATGGGTAAAAATGAAAATAAAATCTTCAACTATTCAATTAATTAAATTTTCTCTTTATTTTTAGACATTGTACAAATCCATGTAATGGAGCTTGTGGTGCTGGAGCTCTTTGTGAGGTTAATATTCTATACTTACTTTTTATTATAATTGTTAAAATAATTTTAAATTTTTATATGTATTCTTTATTACATCCATTTTCTAGCCAAGAAATCATGTAGCTGTATGCAGTTGTCCTAGAAATTATGAAGGTGATCCATATCATAGTTGTAGACCATCTGATCCAGGTAAAATATTGAAAGTATTTAGATCTAAATATTATTCTTTAAAAACATAATCAAAAGCAATTGCAAAAATATATTCGAAAGTTAATTATTTTAATAACTCTGTTCTATTTAAATAAACTAATGAAATGATTTCAATAGAATATGCTTCTTCTATCTTAGATCCTAAACTAAGTTGGGGTAGTCCTTTTCAAATTAAGTTTAGCTATGCTAAACAACCTGGTATTATTTTAACTCACTCTATTTAAAGTTATTATACTATTGCTTTGGAATAAACAATGCAAAACAGAACTGGCAACAAACTCATTCTTATAGAAAATTTTAAAAGTGTTATAATTATTCTAAAAATATTTATTCTTTCGGAAAAACTGATCTAAAATTGTAGTAAAAAAAACAAATCTAATTAATTCATATAAAACACTTCCATTAACCATATTTGAAAATTTTCTTACTTATATTCCAATTGTAAATAAGCAAATTAATTATTTTAATTATTCAATTTTCCGAGTTGTTATACGTGTTCCTACTTTGAATACTTATTACATATATAAAATATAGATTCATAGTACAATTAGTATAAAAAATTCAAAAACAAATCCATTGTTTCACTATACAATTTTGTTATTATTAATTATAATATCTTAATATGACAAATACCTTGATCTTGGTTCTACCATCAAATCTAACGACGCAAACAAACAACATTTAAACATCCCACATACAAAATTTTTTTTTATTTATTTGCTAAAACATTATACAAATGTAAACGCATATTATAGCATAATATTCAGCAATACGTAAAATTAACCTTGAATCTAGATCTAGAGAGTAATATTATAAATCATTAATGTAATTTCACTTAAGCATTATTGTTATACGTACTAAATTGATTAATATAATTACATATGTACATACATTAATAGAACTTTATCTAAAAATAAACTTATGAACATTACAAGTATAACAGAAATAAAAAAAAATTTCTTGTCTGAATTTTATTATAATTGTATGTGAGATGTGATACATTCCTTTCCGGTTAAATTTAATGACTATGTATATTTAATCATACTTTCTATACAACAGAAAAAAAATGCATAAATATTTTGAATTTTAGAGGAACAATGCCGACCAAGTCCATGTGGAGCAAATACAAAATGTGAAATTCTTGGTGGAGTTCCAACTTGTTCATGCTTAACAGGATATGAAGTACGTATAAATAATTTTCAATATTGAATTCAAAATTTCTTTCTAAATTTTTTTTGTTTTTTTTTTGCGTGTTGTAGGGAAATCCATTAACTGGTTGCAGACACGAATGTGATTATGATGGTGATTGTGGTCCAACTGAAATGTGTAAAGATTTTAAATGTGTTAAAGCATGTAATGCATGTGGTACATTAGCTAATTGTGTAAGTGTTGCAAATCATAGAGCTGTTTGTGAATGTCCAAAAGGTTATATTGGTAGCCCATATACTGAATGTCGTCCAGAATGTTATGGTGATGTAGATTGTCCAGCAAGTAGACCAGCATGTTTCTATGGTATTTGTAAAAATACATGTGATGGAGCTTGTGGTGTTGGAGCTGATTGTAAGTGATCGAAATTTTTTATTTAAAGTTTTTAAAAATAAATTTTTTATTTTAAAATAATAATTTATATTTTTAGGTAAATTGAGAGGATTAACACCAGTATGTAGTTGTCCGCGTGATATGACTGGTGATCCATTCATTCGTTGTCGTCCATTCACAAAAGAAGATCTCTGTGAACCAAATCCATGTGGAACAAATGCTATTTGTATACCTGGACATGATAATACTGGTAAAGAACGTCCTGTATGTAATTGTGCACCTGGTTATACTGGAAATCCACTTTCACATTGTGCTAGAGTAATATTTTAATTTATATAACACTTATAAATTTTTTTTCTTATATCACATATATTTTGATAATAGGGTGAATGTCAATCGAACGAAGAATGTTCTGATAGCCAAGCTTGTATTAATTATCAATGTACAAATCCATGTATTGGAAAATGTGGTAGTGGAGCAACTTGTGAACCAAAAGGTAATTGAAATTTTTTTTTAGTTTATTTAAATCTAAACTGAATTATAAATAATTTTTTTTTTTCTGAAATTTTGTAGCTCATTTAGCTGTTTGCAAATGTCCGCCAGGTACAAATGGTGATGCATTAGTTAGCTGTAGAAAATCAAGAACAATTCCAGTTGCCAAATATCATTGATCTCACCATCAATATTCTTCATTCAATCTTTTCTTGAATATTTATTAACTAAAAACAAAAAAAAATAAACCTGAAAGAAAGCAATTTCTGAAACTAAAATAAAAATAAAATCCTGCCATTTCATTACTATGCTTTCTTAAAAAAAATGTAATAATTATGTGAATTTATCAAAAAAAAAAATATTTTTAAACTTTTTGTTCTAAAAAAAACTTTACCATAATGAACTTGTTAATAAATTATTAATAAAACAAAAAAAACCAAAAAAAGAAAGAAAAACAAATAAAAACTTAAGTAACTTTTGTACAATATTGTAAAAAAATAACATTTTTATGATAAATTCTAGGCTTTAAGATTATTGAACATAATTTAAAAAAACCTACAGGATATTAAAAATTATTTAGAAATTTGTGTTTAGAATTAAAATGTTAATTAAATAAAAACACAATGATAAAAGTCATAAATATAATTTTTTTTACATATTTTTAATTTGTTTTTTTGTTTTTTTTTTTCAATTGTTGCTTTTTTTAATAAATTGTACAATTAATATAGACTTGTTTTTTTTTTTTTCATTTTTTCATAAAATTTTTTTTTTTTATAATTCATATAAAAGAAATTAAAATTCTGATTTATTCAATTCATTAAACACATAAAATTTAAAATTGTAAATTTAATATTTACAAAATTTATTTTTGAAATTTTCATCAATTTCTAATAATTTCCGATGATTTTAAAAATGTATAAGGAGCAGATTGTATTTATAATTTATTTTACATAATAATCAAAAATAATTAAATAATTTAATTTAATAATTAAGAAATAAAAGCGAGAAGTATTTAAAAAAAATAATTTATTAAATTTTTAAATAAATGAAATGTTCAATTTTTTAATATCAATTATCTGTTTTAAATACTTATTTTCAAAATTTTATTTTTAATATGAAATATAAAGAGAAAATAGAATTTGCAAAAGCACATTTATTTACAATCAAGGATTGAGAAAATAATAAACATTTTTTGTATAAAAGTTCCCAAAAATTTTAATTGAATAAATCAGAATGAAGTTATTGCGTTTGTTTCTTTTTATTTAATTATTTTTTTAATTTTATTTTACCTCAATAACTGAGAAGTATATGGTATGTATTTAACATATTTTTAAACTTCAAAAGGTAGGTACAATAATTTCTACATAAAAATACTCTAGAAATATATATGTTTTGTTTTTTTTTTTCTTGTTAATTTAATTATTTTATATTTAATTACATAAATATTTATTATGTATATAATATTCATATATATTTTATTAGTTATTGTTAGTATTATTTATGTTCCAGTTAATTTTATTTATATGCGAATAATTTTTTTTTTATTTAATTTTATTTAAAAAATAAGATATACAAGTATGTTATATATGTATAATGGAAGTTTCATTAATTTTTTGCTTTTTTTTATTATATTATTATTATTTTAATATCATTATAAATTCTATCTACACACAAAATACTTCTTAGAGTTTAAAAAAAAAAACATTAAATGAAAGAGTACTATGTATATAAATGTATATTCGAACACAAAAAAAAAAAAAAAAAAAAAAAAACAAGAAAAATGTGAAAAACTCGTGATATATTTTAAAGGATTATGTGGGTTTTTCCATAAGGAAAATTCCTAAATTTTTTCTTAATTAGTAATTAAAATCGTGAACTTATCACTTTTCCAAAAAGTTACAATTTTTTTTTTAATAGGAATTTTTTTGATTATTCAATAATACTTAAAAGCGATTAATTTTAATTGTTCTTAAAATGAATTAGAAAATTTTATTAATTAAATTAATAAAATGAGTTTAAAAGAAAAGAAATTTATCTAATTTTTTTTTTTTATAAATTATTAAACAATATTAGTGTATTTTTTAAAGGTACCTAATGAAAAAAAAAAATTATTCTGCTTTTGATTTATTATTTAAAATTTATTTGAACAAAAATAAATGAAAGTTTTGAGCAAAATTGAACTATAATCAACACTTAAAGTATGATATGTGTACCAAATTTAAAGGAAAAAAAATGATTTTATGCGTTTTTTTTTTTTGGATTTATGATTTCGAAAATCATGTAATTGTTATGATCGCAAAAACGTGATACATAAATTAATTTTATTTTTAATGAATTTTTTTCTTTTCAATATTTTTTTTTTGTTTTAACTTTAATACAATATATAATTTACTTTCTTTTTTTATAATTGTGAAATTTTTTGAAATAAATGCATTTTATTTATTGATATAGTATACATTTTGTAAATTCTTTAAAATTAGAAATTAATTTAATATTCTTTAAAACAAAAAAAAAAAGAAAAAATTCGAATATTTTAGTCATGCAAAAATTTTTATAAAAATACAATAAAAAAAATAATAGGAAATTTTTGACCAATTTTAAATTATTTTAAATGAACATATTATGTAAAAACAAAATTCGAAAAGAATTTAATTAAATTTGTAAGATAATAGTTTTAATATCGTTAATTGCTAATTTTTTCTTTTATTTCTTGACTTTAAATACTCATTTTTTATATCTTTTGTTTTTTGGATTACTTATTTTATTTTAGATAATATATGTATATATAAGTGTACATATATAATATCGAATCAAAACTCATACATATTTATACATATATATGCTTACAAAAAATGCATTTTCTATACAATTACATTATATACTTTAAATAATTTATAAAAAAAATATATATATACATATATATATTTTTGTTAGGTAGGCAATTGATTTTTATACACAATTATTGAAAAAGATAAAAAAATTTTCTTCTTTTCTTAATTTAGGAAAGCATACCTATTTCAATTTTTTTTATTCAACTTTTTATCTTTCTAGTAAATTTAAAAAAAAAAAAAAAACCTTTTTCTACAACTAACAACATCGAGTTTTAGGCTTTTTTGGTTTCCTTAAATTAACTGTGTCATTATTTTGAAGAGCATTCTGTGCATTTTGTTGCAATTTATGATTTAAAACTTGTTTTGTTATGGCGTAAAACATTTCTTCCACATTAATATTTTCTTTGGCTGATGTTTCAAATAATTCAATATTCATTTGTTTGGCAAAACGTTGAGCATCCTCAGTTAGTACTACTTTACGGGCTGGATCATCGTTTTGATTACCAACTAAAAATAAAATTAATATATTATTATGGAAAAGTTAAAAAATTATTCCATATAATAAAAATATATTTAAAATGTACATACCTAAAACTTTATTGACAACATCACAATTATGTTCTATTTCTTGTAACCATCTTCGAACATTTGCAAAGGATTGTCCATCAGTTACACTGTAAACGACAATTACCCCATGTGTTCCACGATAATATGTACTTGTAATTGTTCTAAAAAAATAAAATTTATATAATTTTAATTTAAATAATATAATAATTAAATTTTTTTTAATATTTTATCAAAACAAGTGAGTACCTGAAACGTTCCTGTCCTGCAGTGTCCCAGATTTGTAATTTTACTCTTAAACCATCTATTGTCACTGTTCGAATTTTAAAATCAACTCCGATTGTTGTTATGTAACTTCCAGAAAATGTATTATCAGAAAAACGAATGAGAAGCGAAGATTTTCCAACACCTTAAAATACAAAAACAATTTCATTTAAAAACCAATAATTACCAAAAATAATTTTAATGTGGTATTAAAAATACATACATACACAAGTATATTATAATTACCTACATAGCTATTAATAAATAATTAATAAAATTCTGTTATCAATTTGACGTTAAAATCAACAAATTTAGAATTAGGTAATAAGTATTTTTATTCTAAAATTGGTTATGGGGCAGATAACTTCTCCAATCAATTTCATAAAGAAACATTAATAGAATGTTTTCTTACAATAAATATATTTTTTGAAAAAAATTTCAAGGCTTCAAACTTAATAACAACAGACATTGTATTCTCATATAAAATACATTTTTTATTAGAAACTTCAACATTTCCGAGATATTGGAAAGTCTATTTCATTATTGATTCAGGAAAAATTGACATAAATTTAAAAAACTATTCATAAATTTTACATTGATATGTAAAATTGATTTGTTCGTATTAAGCACATATTAAAACTTACCACTATCACCGATGATTAATAACTTGAACAAGTAATCATAGTCTCTAGCCATCGCAATTTTTTTTTTCTATCCTTTGATATAAAAATGTTTAAATAATTTTTCTAAAATCTCGTGTAAATTTTTTACTTCAACAAAGCCACATAAATTTTATATATTCTTTTAAAATCCATAAATTTCGATACTGGAGATTTGGAGATGAAAGAAGAATTGAATTCACACAAAGAAACTAAAATTTTGATATCAACTTTTGATTTTCAATGAAGTTTCAAAGTTTTCAGTTTCCTTCCTTTAAAATAATCAAAATTTTATCTGTGTCATTTTGGTTGATTATTTTACTTAAATTTACAGATTTAATATTAAATATATTCAAATAATAAATACTGAGTGAGAGATACTTAGGAAAAATAGTATTATATTTTATAGTTTAAATTTATTTTTATAAATAATAAAAAAGAAAAATAAAAACTAATTAGAAAACTATTGTAATAATTTTTGATTTCGCGATTGAAAGGTCTGTAATTTGACATATGCCTGTTAATTATTAAATATAATTATAAATAATGGCAATGGGGTATATGTAGCAACTATTTTGAAAGTACAAAATTGATTCACATTTTTTAAAGAAAAAGATAAGAAAATCTCTAGAGAATTTTAATATCCTGGGAAATGTATTCTCGCAAAAAATTTCTTAACGAACTTATAGATCTATATTTAATAAGAGCATTATTTCTTAATTTAGTTTAGTATTAACATTAGACTTAATTTAATTAACTTTTTAGCGCGAATTAAAGTGAATTCACCGCTTCTTCGTAATCAAACCGAATTTGATATATACAAATAGTTTCTTTTTATATGAAGAGTTTTCATATAAAATTATAAATTTGACGTAAATACAACGAAGTAGTAAAAATAAAGAGATTTAAAATATGATGTAATGGTGCCTATAATTTTATATACTTCTAAAATTTTAGACAAAGTTTCGTTAGCTATAATTTTCAAAAAGAAATCTTTAATTTTATTTGATTTTTATTTTTCGAAAAAACAGTTTTTCTGTATCTATTTATATTTTACTTATTAACATCGTTAGTGATTTGCAAAACTTTTCTTTCATAAAACGGGGAAAATTAATGATTTTAGTTTTGTGTTATTGAACTACTATGACACTAATTTTTTCACATATTTTAATTTATAAAAATTTTAAATAAGATTAGTAAATATATACAAAAACTTCATATATTGTATATACTATTTACATTTTAAATTTTCTTCTGAAATAATAAAGAGTTTCACATAACTGCTCGTCGATGTAAGATAAATTCAAAAAGTACTATCTTACGTGAAAGATTTTTTGCAAAATTTAAACTGTGAGGCAAAAAATTAAAGTAAAAGTAATTTTATTGTATTCTAATTATTATATTCGTATTTAATTTTTGAAAATCGAATTTTTATATAATGTCTATTGTCATTATGTTCTGTATTTTACTTACGAATTTTTCTTCACGGAAAAAAAATCAGTTGAATTTTGATTCCTGACAATTAACCGACTTTTCATTAAACTTGTGTGTAAAGCTAAGAAAGTTACAGTCCACGTAGAAGAGAAATTAAAAATTTTATCACAGTTTCATGCAAACGAAATTAAAAAGCGATTTTAAATAACTTATTTATTAAAAAATAATATGCCCCTAATTTGACATTATAATTAAATAATAATATTTATTATTTAATTATAATGTATAAACAATTAAATAATAATATTTATTTGACAAAAAAAAACACGTTTATGAGATTACTTAAAGCGTATTAATTTTTATTAAGAAAACTGAAATTGTAACTTATATAATACTTACATATTTAAAATCTATCAAAGCAACTAATTTTACCATAAAAATTTTTAAATGTAAACATCAAGCAAAATCAAAATTTTCTAAACAATTGTTATACATGGAACTCTTTTTCAAATGGCAGCACGAGTATAAACAAAATTTCTAAAATTGTCAAAAGTGACACTATAAATTGGCACCAACTAAAGCTTTAAAAATAAAAACGAAGAAATAAATAGGTGATTTTAAAAGAAATAATTATTTAAAATGTCGAAAATTGAACATGATTTAGCTCTGTCAAGCTCCATAATGCAGGTAAGTTGTTAAATAAATGTTAATGCATGTTGGTCAATTTAAAAAAATATGTATATGTTATTGATGCATTGGTCTAACCCCCGTGAATATTTTACGCAATTTTTCGGTTGTCTTCACATTATATTAAATAATATATGTTTAAAACTATATAATTTTAGCCAAAGAAAGTTTTTCGTTGCAAATTATTAACTAAGAGAAGGTGTCTAGTGTTTTAAAATAATTTTGATGACATCCATGAGATCCAATATTGTTCATCCTAAGAAATGGCGTCCTGCGCATTGTTCAAATAAAAATCATAAAAACTATAATTTAAATTATTTACACTATATTAAGTGTCCTTATTTATTCATTTTACTTATAATTTCTATATTTTCTTTTGGCGGGGTTTTATTAGAAGAATTAAAATATAATGCTTTTGGAATATCAAAATGTGCAACAAGTACTGTTACATAAACCCTAATTAGTCGAACATATTTTATTTCAGGCTATACAGGAGCTTATCAAACCACCAGATGAAGAACCAAAAGTAAATATTAAAGCAATAACAAAACATCCTTATTACAAACGTCAAGGTCGAGTACATAATCATGACTCTTGTGATGCCTGCGATGAAGGTGGAGATTTGATTTGTTGCGATAAATGTCCTTCTAGTTTCCATTTACAGTGCCAGTAAGTTACAAATTTTAATTGCCATAAAAATGAAAATATATTCATTAATGTTTTCAGTGATCCACCATTAACAGAAGAAGACATACCAAATGGTCAATGGTTATGTCACAATTGTCGCATGACGTTAAAAGTAAATTCAACGTCAACATCAAAAGCTAACTCGGTTGATCGTACTTTAACAGCAAAAGTTGACTCAGATAACTCTCGGCCAAATACTCCTAATGCATTACATGAGCAACAAGAAATAATGTCTTCTGTTCCAAACAAATTGCGTAATTTAAGGAAACGTAGTAGTAGTCATATTTCATTTTGTAGTGATACTAGCGCACCCACAGATAAAATTTTAGCACATAAATTAGCTTTAACAAAAAATTTTGATTCAAATAAAAAGCCAAACCCTTTAGACGAGCTTATAAATGCTGCCATGATAATGAATCCAAGGCAATTTGGTTTACCAAAAGAGATGGAAGTTCACTATCAGTTTCCAGGATCAGATAAAGGTGAAAAATTTAATTTTTTTAAACCACAAAATTAAACAATTTAAATTTAGTTGAGCCAATAAGGAATGGATCAAAAAAACCGTATAGAAGAAATTCTAAACCATATGAATTGGATTCTCAAGGACTAGTACCTTTACCTGCTAAAACGTGCTTTTATTGCAGAAAATCTTGCAGGAAAGCACCTTTAGTTGCATGTGACTATTGTCCTTTGCTGTTTCATTTGGTAGGCTCTTAGACTTTAATATTCAATTTCTGTAATTAAAAGTTTGAATTGCTCTTAGGACTGTTTGGATCCACCTTTAACAGCATTACCTACAGGTTTATGGATGTGTCCAAACCATCCAGAAAATTTTATAGTAATTATATTTTCCTTTATAATTATTTTATGGTATTTAAAAATTATTTGCTTCTAGGATTGGAAACTTCTAAATAGCATATCAACTACAGAACGAATAAAATTGTGGAATAAATATTCTGGGCCAGTAGATCATGAAACTGTTAAAACTGAATTTTTTCGGCGTGTTCATTCAAAAAATCCTCCTTTTCGATTCAAATTGGCTCCAAAACCAAGAGACAGAGTCGAGGTTCCACCAATGGTGCAATATTACTATGATAACCCACCTCCTATGCTACCATCACTGCGAGATGCCTTTCGCTATGAAATGATTAACAAACGCTATAACGGTATTTTCACGTTCTTTCAAATTGAGATTTTTCAAAGAATTAAGTCAACTGAAGTAAAAATAATTTAAATTATTTTAGGTTTCCCCGAGCAAACAAAACCAACAAATGAAGAATTGAAATCAGTTGTAGAAGAAAATTTGTCAGAAATTAAAAATGCAAATGAAAAACTAAGAGAAATTCGTCGTGAATTGGGTGAATCTGATATTAGTGAGGATGAAGACGAAAGTGATTCTAGGAAAGAGTTCGGGAAAGAAGAATCTGAAAGTGCTGCAATAACTGGTTCTGAAAAAAATGATACGGCAGAGAAGATTGATAATCATAAAAAGATTAGTAAACGGAAAGGAAAACGTGGTATAGAAAATGAGCTTTTCAAAAAACAACAAGAAAGATTAATGAAACGAGCAGCATCCCTTGAAGGAAAATTGACAGGAAATAATGGTTTTAAAGATGATGACGATGACGATGAAAATGATACTAATGATGAAGAAAATCAAAACTTAGATCCATATATTGATGCTGAATTAAAATATTTAGATGTTGATTTAATTAAGTTATTAGCGTTTCAACGACTGCAGCAAATAATTGCTGAAAATCCAGACATAGTAGTTCAATATAGAAATAGGACTGCTGCAAAACGTATTCGAGAAATACTCAATAGCCAAGCTGCTGTAACCGGAAACAATAATAAAAAAACATTACTACCAAGCCAATTGTTATCACATGACGATATTGAAAGAATATCAAAAATGTTTACTGACGAACAGAATAATAAAGCAATAGAATTAGGAACAACATTAATAAAAAATAATTTTACAACGAATAATAATAATATTATAAATAATAATAAACATAATATTAATAATAATATTAATAATGATCATACAACTATTTTAAATGACTTTTGTAATAATAATAGTTCAGAAAAATTATCATTTAATAACATTTCAGAAGAATTATTATTAAATCCAAAATCGAATAGGACAGATAATGAAAAAGCTGAAGAAATTGCAATACGCTTAGAACCATCAATTAGAAAAATATATATAAAATCTAGAGCTGTTTTAACACCATTATATGATTTATTAGAGGGTAATAAATGGTTTACAAATATCTCTGTTAAAAATTCAATTGAAATGAAATATCGTACCTTAAATATTGGTTGTGGTGATGATACAACTGATTTATGTTTGAGTAAATATGGTAAATGTAAACATATATCCTCAAAACATGCAACAATTTTTTATGATGAATATTCTAAAACATTTGAATTATTAAATTATTCAGAATATGGTACAGAAGTTAATGGACAATTGTATATATGCAGTATAGTTGATAAAGATGAACGTTATTTAGTTAATACAAGTAATAAAATGAATAAAGAAGAAACAAAACAAATGAAACAAAAAATAAAAGAAATTCTAGATAAAAGAAGAAATAATGATAATATAAATAATAAAACAACATTAATTCCTTCAACATCAAATCAAATTAAAACATATTGCAATGATATTAGGTTAGTTTAAAATTTGAAAAAAGAAAAAAATTCATTATTAATTGTTTTATATTCTTATAGAATTGAAACTCCTAAAAAACCGGAATGTCGATGTAGTTCGCGTCTTCCAGCCATTCCAGGATGGGAGGATACTGTAGTTCTTCAACATGGAAATTTGATACGTTTTGGTTGTTTATCGTTTGTTTTTTCAATAACAAATTATGTTCGAGATGAAGATGACTGTTACTCTAATTGATAGTAGTTTATTATTATAATTATTGAATATTATTAATTATTATATTGAAATTTGAAAAAAAAAAAATAATAAGGAAAAGAAAATCTAAAAAGGAAAAAAGTAACAAAATTTTAAATTTGTGTGCTCAAATTGTTATTCTGAAATCTCTTTTCTAATCCAAAAGGGAATAGTTTTATATATGTATAATATATATATATATATATATATATATATATATATATATATATATATATATATATATATATATGTATATATAATAAAAAAAAATACTTAGAAACTTTATTATAGAATATTAAAATTTGTTTTTCTCTTAGGTTGGTTTATTACTAAAAAGAAAAAAAATATCAGAGAAAATAATTATTTAAACCTATGGTAGTTTTTGTTGAAATTTTTTTTTTTTATTAGATTGTGTTGATTTTTAGCTTTTCTTTTTAAAATTGAATTTGATGATTCAAGAAATCAGTGTTTGAATAGTTAAAATATAACTAATGTTCTCTTTTTTTACTAAAATAAAAGAAAAAAAATAAACTCAAATGTAAATAATTTTATTGAATCTTTAGGATTAAAATAAGTACATCAAATAAAAGTAAATTTTAATTTAGGACTCAAGTACAATAATTGCAAAATCCCACTTTTCATGTTTTTCTCTTTAATTTTAAAACAATTTGTAAATAATTACATGTAATAAAAAAAGCAAACTTATTTAAGATTATTTAAATTAAGACCAAAATATTCAATTTTGTAGCTTTCATTGCACTTCATACAGGGTTCAATCCCCCTTCCCCCTCTTTCAAGGATGTATTAATTTGTTTTTTTTTTTCGATATATGTAATGTTCTGGACCTTCCCACTATACTGAATAGACTACACCGAAAGTCAGTCATTTAAATTAGATAAAACTGTGTAAAACAAAAAATTAACATTCTCTTTTTACAATAAAACCAAATTTTTTAAAAAAAAAAAAAATTTAATCAATCTATGCTTTTTACAATCATTTATTTAAATTCGGTAATTTAATGCATAACCAATTTTGGGGGACTTCATATGAATCTTTTGGATTTGCCTGATAATTTTCTGTGAAGGGCAAATGCCACGTTTCTTCAACTTTATGTGCATTTATATTAAACTTACATGGTTCTTTAACTAATATTTTACCATTCTTTTTTACTTTTATCAATGAATATAAATGCTCCTGAAGCCATCTCTTAAATATTAATTTTAAATTGTCACCCAATAAATAAGAATGTGACCTCATTAAATCTTTAGAAAAAATGTGAGTAGAAGGACCACTTTTCAATGCAGCATATAATAAAAACGGGTCATCTTGTGATCTAAATTTAGTATAAATTTTTTTTATTAGAAATGTACCTAATAAGATTTTGAATTTTTTTTTTAGTTGGCATTTAGGTTGTACTTACAAATTATCCGTCAAAAACATTTTGCAATTTTTTTTTATATAACCAAAATGTTCATTAGGCCATCGTGTCATGTGCTTTCGTCCAATTAATAAAATGTTCATATTTAAATCTTTAAAGTACTTAACAACAGAACACACCTAAAAAATTTGTCTATATATGAAATTTATTCCTTATTCATAAAATTATAAATTTACTGCAACAGGTGACAATTTTCCATTAATTGAATAAGCTACATTAAGACCATCAACTACACAATGAAAAGGTGCATGCTTATCAATGTATTTCAAAAAATTTTCCAATTCTTTAGGATTTGTTTTAAGAAAAACATCTTTATGTATTATTGCACGATCTAAGAACGTATTTCTCATCAATTTAAATTCATCATTACTTATAAAGACTCTTTCAAGGAATAAATTACAATTTTCACATTTCCCATTAAAAGAAATTTGGGTTTGAGAATTTTTTAAATTCATACTATCTAAAGTTTTCGTCAATTCATTGGTAACTAACTTACTAATAACGATATCATGTTCACCTATAAAACTTAATAAACGATTTAGGGTTTCTATTTGTTTCGTATAATCAGCTTCATTTTGTATTGATTTTAAAATAGATATAAATATTTTACAATTTGGTTGTTTTTTGTATTCATTAACCATTTCATGGAGTAATGTCCAACCTAATTCGTTATCCGTGGCATTTTCGAATGCTTTTGATATTATTAAACTGTAAACATTATTACTTGGTTTAGCAGATAATTTGGTAATCTGTAAGAGTTCTAATGATTTTTTCCAATCAGATGTGCATACTAAACCAAAAATCAAATTTTCGCATGTTGAAGCATCAAGATTATCATATTTTTCCAATATTTCTTTATATATATTTAAAATGTTTACATGCTTGTCTGCTGTAAGCTTGCCACATTCATAATAATTATTGTAAAGCTTTAACAAACATCCTAAAACTGGCGTTTTAACTTCCAAATCATTGTTTTTTAAATATTCAATATAATTTTCCACAAGGTGTAGATCATTTGTTGAGCTTAGCACGCTTATTATAAAATAATCAACATTTATTTCTGTTAAACTTTTTTTATTCAAAAGCAACTCTTTACGAAGTTCTCCAAAATCACTCTTCGTTTTAGAATTTTTTTTAGCAAAATCAGTTATAATATCCCTTAGACTGTTATCACTTGGATTTGTTACCACTAATGAACGCTTATAATTGCTAGTTTTACGAATTAACTTATTTAACCCCAAAATTGTAGAACCTCTCAATAATTTGGTCACTAGCATATTTTAGATTTTCCAATATTTTGATTTCTAAATTTATGCTAATATGAAATTAAAATTTCTATATTTAAATTTATTTTTTAAGTGCAAGTGCATAACATAACCAAAAAAAAACTAATATAAACAATAAATATTATACATCCAACAATATACATACATACATATGAAATACAAAAATCTTATACCCAACCAGAAAATTTTCTCAGGGGGAAAAAATTTGAAAATACTGGGGTGAAAACATTGTTTAAATGGTATGAATGAAAATATCCAGTTATATACGACGCAAATGTAGAAAGGCCTTTTCTCTTCTTTCCTTTTAAAGATATCGTCTTAGAAAATTGTTTAACTAAAATTCTGTATATATATATTATGTGGTTTACAAGGATTTCGCTTAAAAATTTCAGAAACTTTATATATTTTCATCACAATCTAAGCGGTACAATACATTAAAATATTTCGTTCAATATTTCTTACGAATTCAGTGTATATATATTCCGTTTTAACTTGTCATCTTTTTAATTCTTATTTTTTGCCCTTATCTATTTGACATAAACAAAGGACATTCATATGAGTCAAATAATTTTTTAAATGGTATTATATTCTTCTCTTGTAAAAAATTATTGAATAAATTTAGAAAGAAATAATCACGTCACATACTTCCTTAAATTTTATACTATGACATTTCGAAACTACTCATGAATTCAAACTACTCATGAGTATATAGGCGAAGTTTGTAAATGCAACGGTCTTTTTCGATATATGAGTAAATTATAACATTAACATTTTATAAAATGGTATGGCCTTTTTTTTTCCATATAACTCTTTTTTTAATGTTCAAATGTCAATTTAATAAGAGAAAAGACATTTCGAAATAATAAAATTAAATTCCAAAATAATAAGAAAATAAGTAAAATAAGAATTTTTCCGATAAGAAAAAATCTATCTTTGTTTATTAGATACACTATTTCCAACTATCGAAAAAAAATAACACAACTTTACAGATCTTCTACGTATTTATTTCGAGGTAGTGTAGTTGTGGTCAGTTTTGGCTACTCATGACTAACTTAAACACTTAAATGAAATACGAATAATAAATTACCACAATTCTACTATAATTATATATTTAAAAAGTATTTTTTTAAATATGTATACTTGAATTGAAGCATTGCCTATGTAACCACCAAGTAAAATTTTTTTTTAAACTGTCACGAATGTTAAATAAATTTGACATTTATGACAGTTATGAACATTATAAAAATGTGTGATTACATTTCGTATACGACATCTGCATAATATAGTAAATATATAATTTATTTGTATGTATGTATATATTTTTACTAAAATATATTTGACAAGTTGATGATGTAAACATAGCAAATTGCATATGTTCAATTATAATATTCTTATTATATTTATATGCATGCACATTATATACATACATATATTAAATATTTACTATACAATCTATCATAATAATTGTAAACTATTGTAGTGAACTGATAAGCAAGAATTTTTTTTTTTTTTAGAAAATTAGGATTTGGTGAATTACTTAATTAATTTCTTAATCAAATTAAAAGTATACTATAGGATTTTAATATACAATATGTGATTTATTTGTTTTTAAAATGAAATAATGCAAAGTATTAGGTAGCAGCATAATTTTTTTTTTATATATGGAAATTAACCAAAAAAAAAACGAAAAAAAAAAATCAAAACTTTTTAATTCAAAGAAACGAAAAACGGCTGCCTAATACTTTCGAATTTTTTAAATTAAAATCTATTTTCTATAAATGTCTAAGATACTAACTTTTATAACGAATTTTAGTTTAATTAAAAGAACAATATTAAATAATAATTATAAAACGTCCTCCTCCTTTCTACAGAAATTTATGAGTACAAATGATAATAAAAAAACAGCAAGTAATATGACGAATTTATCAAATGTTTTCCACCAGTAAATATTTGAATAAAAATATAAAAAAAAATTCTAAAGAAATTTTTATTAAATTTTCATGTTATTCAAACTCTTTTGTTTTAAAAAATGCATATTGTATTTTAGATTTGAAAAAATGGATAATGTTCCTGATGAAATATTTAAAGGATATAAGGATCGATATAATGGTATAACTATTAATAGTAAAGATTATAATAATGGAGATATTGATTTTGCCAAAAAATTACAAGGTAATGATCATACATTATTAATTATTTATAATTTTTTATTAATATAATTCATTTTCTATTTTAATAAATAGATTCTTTAAAATATTGGAGTGAAAATTGTTTTCGAACAATATGGTTTAATATTGAAACTGAAAAATCAGATTGGGTGCCACATTTAGTTAAGGTAATTTTGAATTACATAAATCCATAAACAGCAGTTATATATACTTAAATGACATACCTACATATATGTACATATATCATTTATCACGCGGTAAAAAAAATTATAATTATTACAACTCTTGTATACATAAGATTTTATAGGTATACCTAACCTAGTAAAAAAGCAAAAACAGACAAGGTCAAAATTACAATTTTTTTATTGTATGTATCTACTGAATACTAGTCTATGAATATAAGTAGAATAATAATACAATGTATGAGAAACTTTAATTGAATGCATGTGCCTGGGTATGTGCATTTAGAAGATACAAAAACTATAAAGAAAAATTTATATATATGTACATACAAACATGTTTAATTGAAAATATGACTGAATGTGCGTTTACTGCAAAACATGGATATAATGTATGCTTGCATTGAATTAGATTCATATATTGCAGACAAAGTGAACAAAGAAAATTTTAGAATACGTACATACGTGGATTAACTCACTCATAATTAAGATATTTTAGAATGCATAATTTTATGTTGTACGTATGTACATTAATGTAAATAATAAAAATAGAGGTGTATACCTATGTGTGTATACCTACCACAAAAAATACTTACTGATTTTTATTTATTCAATATCAATTATGAAAATAAAAAGTCTAGACATTTTTAGATGGAAATATTTTATAATATTAAATAAATTAGAAAATACAGGCAACAATAAATTTTATTTACATACATACATTATGTAGATATTCTATAACATTGTATATTACCCGCCAAAATATTTTTAATCTTAAAATGAAAACATCTGCTCTTTTATTTTTTTTTTGTTTCAAAGAATGGCTTCGATTATCATCATGCAAAACAAGGTTATGTGTTGATGTTTAAATGGTTGCCATCTGAACCAGATAATTTACCTAAATATGCACATACAATGTTAGGTGTTGGTGGATTAGTTATTAATAAAAATAATGAAGTTCTTGTTGTACGTGAAAAGCATGCAATTGTTGCAAATTTTTGGAAATTACCAGGTGGTTATGTTGAACCAGGTAATCTTTAATTATGACTCTTTATATAGTAATACTTTTTCATTTTATTAGATCTTTATTTGCTTAAGTACATACATACATAAGTATATTTATAAAAATATGACATGTGTTTTTTTTTTTAATCATTTTAGGTGAAAATTTAGTTGATGCTGTTATTCGTGAAGTAAAGGAAGAAACTCAAATTGAAACAAAATTTTTATCAGTAGTGAGTTTAAGACATGCACATGGTGCAGCATTTGATTGTTCTGATATATATACTGTAATTGCTTTAGAACCAATCAGCGATAATATTATTCCAGCAAAATGTAATCGAGAAATAGCTGAAGTAAAATGGTAAGAACAAAATGTTTAGATTTTATGTTGAAACATTATTCAGTATTATTTTTTTTAAGGATTTCTGCAGAGGATTTTTTAAATAATGATCGTATCAATAAAGGAAATCGTTTACATTTACAAGTATACCTAGAAAATAAAGCTAAAGGTATTGTTTTTGATTGTGAAGATCAAATACATCAAACATTGAAAAAAGAATATAAAGTTTATTATGTTAAACATGTTAATGAAAGCAATAATAAAATAATTGAAAATAAGAAAGATTAACAAGCTCAATTTTGTTGATTATATATTAAAAATACCGTCAAATTATTTTCAATAAAATTAAACATTTTTTGATATAAACTCATATTTTACAATAAAACACCGAATCAAAATTTAGAATATTATGTAATATTACGAATACTTACTGTAGTATTTTTATAATTATAATTTTTTTTTTTGAAATATATTATCTATGTAATTGTTATATAGCTTAAATAATTATAATATTATTATATTATTTGATAATTTTGCACATTTTTAAAATATTTTATTTATATACATACTATATAAGCACAATAAATATGTAAGTTATTTTTATAAAGAAAAACAAGGGCCTTATAAACAATGTGGTAAAATGATATTTTATACCAAAACGATTTTATAGAATTTGCTTCAACTGTTTATTATTATTTTATGTATAAAAAATGTACCTTATGTTATTTATTTTTTTGGTTTTTTTGCTTTTAAAATATTATTTTCATTTATTTTAATAAACATGTATGCAATAAAACAAATTTAATTTTAATATTTTATTAATCGACGATGTAAAAAGTTATACCTGATTTAATCGCTAAGTTTCTTGTTAAAATATTATTTAAGTATGGAAATTTTTTGATTTGTATAATTTTAATTTAAATATCTACTTAAGGTTTTTAATTCTCTAATATAAGTAATTGAATTATAATATTTTCATATTATTGAATAAAATTTATTGGGGCTTAAAATTTATATTAACTTTTTGGGATTTTCACGTTAGGAATGTTTTATCGAACTTTGTAATTTAAAAAAAAAAAGATCTAAATGTATTACTTTACAAATTAGTATGTTTTATAGCTTTAAAAATATCTTTTTTTTTGTGGCAATATTTAATTGAAATGCAAATAAATTAATTATTTTTATTAAATTATAGAAAAGAAAATGATTTTTATTTCATTGTTTAAATTTTAATTACATATACATAATAATTTTTTTAATTATAATCGAATTCAATTTAATTTCAATTCTTAATATTATGAATTTTTATTTGACACCTTTTATGAAATTATAATGTTCTTGTAATTATTCAGAATTATTAATTATCTTTGATACACAAAGTTTATGATCATAAAAAGAACATGTTCCCATAATTAAATTATTTAATTTTTCATTTTCCTCGAATGTTTGACACCAATCTGCACCATAGCAAATACTTTCATGTTCCTCATAAGCACCTTTTATTTCCATGTTCTGGGAATCATCAAATATTTTTACTATTGTAAAATTTTTATACATGCAAGCACATAATAATAAATTCTGATTGTGAGTAATTGGATCAGAACGAATTCTCCAAATACCACCTTCTAAATTAACTTCTTTAACTGAATTTTTTAAATTTCTTGTATCAAATATTCTTAAACGATCATCATAACTTCCAGTTATCAATATATTCTCCATTTTAGGATGACTCAACATAGCAGTAACTCCAGCAATATGCGAATAATTTGTATAGTTATTAGTTATATTTTGTGGATCACGAATATCAAATGAGTTTAGTGTTGTATCATCGCCACCAGTAAAAATACGATTAAAATTCCATTTATCAAAACTGCATGTCCATGCTTCAAAATTATGTGCTGACCAAGTTTTTAATTTGATTAATTGTACACCATCATAATTTAAAAGAGATACACAACCTTTAGAATCTGATGTTATAAGTTTGTAATTATTAAGCTCATTATTAACATTTGGTGACCATTCTAATGACAATGCCAATAAATTATCATCATTTGAATTCAATTGAATGCTACTTTTCAATACAAGCTTATTATCTTGAATATTATAGATATGAATTTCACCCAAAGCATTCGCGGCACCTAAAATTGGGAACTCTTCTCTATGATAATTTAACCATTTCATGTCTAGTATTGCAGCCGTTTCCAAGCGGAATTCTTCCTTCAAAATGTTGTTCTTTAATTCGTATTTAAATAAATAAATTCTACCTTTACGACGACATGGTGCCTGAGAAGATGTATTATTATCTACGTCATCCAATTGATAAGTGCCACATGCAAAATATTCTGAAAAATTTGGATGCAAGCACCATTCAACTGAATCAGCTGAATATTCTGTGTCTACAGTATGAAGTGTTTGAATATTCATTTTAAAGAATTCGATAAGCTGAAATTAATTAAATATTTTAAGCAATTTATTCAATCACCATTTAATATATAAAAATATAAAATAAAGAAATCGACAAAAAGTAATATTAGCAAAAATAGCCATTTGCGGAAACAATAAACAAAAATTTCTAAGCCAAATAGTCTGGATTAAATGAAAGATCAATTATTTATAAATTTAAACTCAATGTGTTTCTGTTTTATTTCTAAATTAAAATTTTCGTGTTGAGATTACTACAATTAGGTAGTTTTTTAAAATTATGTTTTTTTAAAAAAATCTAAAAGGGTTCTTCTTTCTATATAACTTAAAACTATCTTAATTCGTAAGTTATTATAATCTATCATAATACTACAAATAATTTTGTAACATACAATTTTTTTTCCATTTTTCATTTTTAAAACTAAATAGTATGTAATAGATACATGTTTAAATGTAATAATATGTTATTTATATAATAACTTTATTTTGTTTTCATTACAATAATAGGTTCTAAGATTTTCAAAACATCATTATTTTCAGATTGTGCAAAATCTTTTCCGGGGTTTTTAACAAAATCCTCATTTGTATTATTTGATAATTGTTGTTGTTGCTGTTGCTGCTGTTGTTGTTGTTGTGGCTGCTGTTGGTTACCATGATGCTCAGTTGTTTGATTTTGTTGTTGCTGTTGTTGATATGAATTGTTCATGCTTGTATCTGGTGTTGAACATTGACTTGGATTTGGTGATACTGAATGCAATTGGGCGTATAACTCTTTGGCTCTTAATTCAATTTTTTTTTTTTGCTCAGGATTTTGTGATTTTAAACGTCTTAAACGAGCGTACTCTGCTTGTTTTGATAACCGTGCGCGCTTTTCTTCTTCTGTTTCAGTTGCGCGAACTTGAGCACGTTTTAATCGAGCACGTTCACTTAAGCTTTTAAGGCGGACTGATCGTTCTTCAGGTGATTCATTTGCCCGTAATTTTCGTTGGTGTGCTGCCATCTTGTCTAATCTTATACGACGTTCGTCTTCTGTTTCTTGAACTCTTCCACTTCGTCTTCTTTGCCTTCCAGGTGAAGCTAACATCTGATTGATTTCATTTTCCAACAAAGTGTTGACTTTGTGTTGTCGAAGAGCTTCCTCTTGTAATTCAAGTGGTAATCTTGAAAAATCATTATCATTGAAAATTTTTCTAGGACGTCCTCTCATAAGTTTCGGAAGTTCATTACCCTGTATTGGTGCTGGCTGCAATGATTGCTGTTGTTGTTGTTGCTGCTGCTGTTGTTGCTGTTGCTGCTGTTGAGGTTGTTGTGCAGATACAGTTATAGTTGTCGATGGAGTATTATTTGAAGAGGAATTTATTAAAGTATATGGAAGAGTTCCAGGTGCTTGTGTTGTTTGAAAATGTACGGGTGTAAAAGGTGGAGGAACTGTACCTGAGGCCAAACCCAATTGAAATCCATTATGATAAACGGGATAGTATTGTTGAGTACCAGTTGTAGATGATGTGGGTGGTGTAACCACAGGAGTTGAATTTGAAAAGTTGTTTACATATGCGAATTGGTTATAAACGGGTGCGGTAGAATTTTGAATCTGTTGTTGTCCTTGTGTATTTTGGGATTGATGCTGTTGTTGTTGTTGAGATTGTTGCTGCTGCTGTTGTTGTTGCTGTTGTTGTTGTTGTTGCTGTTGGGATTGTTGCGGCTGTTGCTGATTAACAAAATTTCCTTGTAAGTTTTTAACAACTTTTGGATCAAGTTGAACTTGCATTATTGTTACACTCTTAACATTGCTGGGCTGAGTCTTCTCTTTTATAAATTTGTTTTGATAATATTCTATTGTACTAGCAACAGTTCCGTATAAAACCGGTTTTACATCTTTCTCGTACATTGCCTGTTGAAATATCGCATTAGCTTGTTGTGAATTGTCTAATGCTATACCTACAGTATTGTTAGAGTTTTGTCCAAGTTTAAAATTTTGGGAAAGTTTACCCGGCGCCTTGTCAATATTTGTCTTCAAAGATTGATTAATAAACATATTTTGATAATATTCAATTGAATTGGCTAAAGTCGAATGAGGATATGCTTGCTGTGAATTTTGTATATTAGACGCTTGGTGTTGACTTCCTTGGCCCTGTTGAGGATGATCAAGTGGTTGAATGCTCTGATTTGATTCCTGAGATAGATCCTGGTTTAAATTATTTATACCTAATTCTTTTAAACGTTTTTTATTAAGTCTGACCTTTTTTGCGTAATCATTCAGTTTCCTAAGCCTTTCCTTCCTTTCTTCGCTGGTTTCTCTTGCAATTCTTGATCTTGCTCTAGCAGCCATTTCAGCTAATCGTTCCTTTCTTTGTTCTGGTGTTTCATTTGCTCGATATAAACGCATACGTTGGGCTAATTTGGCCAAACGTTTTGCTCTCTGCTCAGGTGATTCCATTGCTCTTCTTAATCTTTGACGTGCAGCGTTCCTCACTAAACGCATGGCACGCTCCATTTCACTTTCATTTAAGCGTCTTATTCTATTAGCTTCTGCATTACGAGCTAAACGCTTTCTATATTCTTCTTCAGACTCCCGGGCGCGACGTTCTCGCATTCTTTCAGCATTTCGAGCCAAACGTCGGGCCCTGGCTTCTGGACTTTCGTTCCAACGTTGTTTATGTGATCCAACACTGGATGGGTATGGCGACGGAGTTGCACTAGGCTGTCCAGGTGATATAAGCATATTAACAGGGTTAAGGGTACCACTCCCAATGTGTTGCTGTTGCTGTACTTGTTGTTGCTGTTGTTGTTGCATGTGAACTTGATGATGCTGCTGTTGTAATTGAGCTGGTTGGGGATGATGGTGTATTAAAATACCAGCACGAGGATTAATTCCCAGCAAATTTGCAGAATATTGGTCGTTTGGTTCGACTTTTATTAAGTTTGGATTTGGATTCATTTTTGAATGTGTTGGTTATGCGCGACCTTTAGAATTTACTTAAGCTTTCAAATAACAATTTTTTTTTAAAAATGAAAAACTAGTTGATAAAATTAATGAAATAAATTTTTTCTATAATTGTTTATAATATTTTATACTCTCTCCAATAATTTTTTTTTGTTTGTAAACAGCATTGTTAGTACGAAATAGTAATAATGCTTCTAAATAAAATTTGACGCAGAAATTAAATTTTTTCAAAGATGTCATTTTGACATTTTCTTGGCGTTGTAGTAAGATGATTCTAATTAGAATTGAACAAAATTTGGCTGGCCCTTGAGTGGCTAAAACCACGCCATTTTTTTTTATAAATTTTTTCTTCAATTGAATACGAATATTGTTTTTTATGTAATTAAAAGAGATAATGTATTAATACAATATTTTGACTAGAAAAATATAATATTAAAAATCTTGTTGCTTCACAGAAAAAATCAATTAGATTACTGATTCACGCGCCTCTATTGTTAAATATGAACAGAATTAAAGTATTGCCAACTTGAAATTCTTTCTGCAAAGCAAAAGAAAAAAAAACAAGCATTTATAGAAGGTGTTACAACCTTACAAAATGAAACCATTTTTTTTTTTATACTCGGCATTTCGCATCTCTCAAATGCTAGTTTCATTAATCAATATGGTTTTCAATTTTAATTCTAGGTATTTTTTTTATTTCTGAAACCCTGAAACTTTAAAATTGGAAATAAAACAACGTTTATATTTTCATCTAAAATACTTTTATACCTATTGGTGCAATTTTTATTATGATAATATTTATAAATTAATTTGAAAACACAAAATTTCAGTATAAAATTTTCTTTCCACTTTTTGTTAGTTAAATTTGAGTAAAAACTTAACCGAAACACTTTCATTTTCGTTTTTGTTTTTTTCTTTTATGAATTAATACAATCCAATAATAACAAATCACATTTCTTCCTTAAAAACCTATTAATCTATCGGCCAAATTTGGCTTGATTATCTTAGGCATTTGGGCTCTGATGTTACGCATTCTTTCTGCTGATTTTTTTAATCTTTTCGCACGTTCTTCTGGTGTTTCATTAGCTCGTTTTAATCCTAAAAATATAGTAATATTGTAAATGATACTGATAGCAAAAAAGTAATCAACTTGCTTTGTCTTTCAGCATTTTTCATTAATCTTATAGCTCTTTGAACTTCAGTCTCATTTTGTCTTCGCATTCTATTTGCTTCAGCATTTTTTTTCAACCTGGCTCTGTATTCTTCTGGAGTTTCTTGTGCTCTTTTTTCTCTCATTCTGGCTGCATTTCGGAGTAATCTTCGTTGTCTACAATTTGACCATATTCTTTTTTAAGTAATATTATTGATTTAAAGAACCTTAGGTTACTTATTTTCTGACTCACCTTGCTTCAGGACTTTCATTCCACTTGTAGCGTGACGATGTTTTAAAACTTTTCTGTGTATCCAAATTTAATAATGTTGTTCCGCAATCAAAATTTATATTCAATTCCGTATTATTGTAATAAATCGATGATTTATTATTATTTTGCCGTTTTTTGTTTGGATCGTTTTTAGCTGGCGCTGGTATATCACCACCTGGATTGTTTAATTGATTTAATCGAAAATCAGTGTTATATACTGAAAGCAATTCTTCGTCACTAATTTTTTCTGTTTTTATTATTGTAAAGACTGAAGAAAAATTCCCAGCCCCGTCTTGAACAACCTCACTCATCCTCTTAGGATCAAATGCAGAATTTTTCTTTTTGCTTGTTTACAAAAATATTAATACTTCATTTCATAGCTTTTCTTTTCAAAAGTAATTTACTAATTTGTTTCGAGGTTTTTTTTAATTTTTCTTTGCAAAAATTTTAAACACTATTTTTTTTTTTTTTTTTCAATTCTAATGAGAAGAGGTAGTCGATATGTAGATTGTTTGTGTGTTGCTAGTTTTCTGCGCACAGATTTTGACAGTTTTTGACATAACCAATTATCACAATCAACGAAACAAGTTATAATAACAAATTCAGACAACTAGACACGATTTTAAAATTTTGTTTTTATCATTGATATTGAAATTGAAACAAATTTATTTTACTTACGGTGGCTTCACTTTTTGGAAAAAATAAAATTTCTATTAGTAACTTCGAAAAAATTAAAATCCTTTCAAGCTCCGAGAATAGCGGCCCTTTAAAATTTAAAATGAAACATAAACAAAAAAAAAGACACGTTTGACATATGTTGAAATGGCGGCGTTCCTAATGAAAGCAAACGAATAAAAGCTTGATCTAAGTACATATTCGGACAATGTGTAATTTCTGTAAATTTAAGTAAACATCATTTTACGATGACTATATGATGTAATAATTTATAAAATATTTCAAAATAGATTTCTCGATAAACCATAAAAAAATAGATAATTTTTTGCAAATTATGCACTTATACTAATTGTTTGTAATTTAAATTATCTATGTTTTTTCGGTTTTTAAATATAATATTAAAGCCCCCCTATCTACAAATACCATAATTAACAAACCTTACTTCATCCGATTTTTCGAAATTTCAAGAACCCTTTTTTTTTAAACTGACAATGTCAATTTTTTTTAAATTAAATGTTTTCATTTTTAAGTAATATCTCAAATATATGACAATGTTGATTTTGAATTATACTCATAATTTTTAGAAGTAGCTAATTACAACCATAATTTGAGCTCATAAGTAATTTGTTCTGTGGCCCTTGATGCTTATTAGTTTTTCAATTTTCTATAGACTTAATAGATATTTCATGCTCTTCTATTTATTTCTTTAAACAGTTTTAGTGCAGAATTTCCTAAAAGAATATTAGCACATATATAGTCACAAACTCACTGCTTTATCGCATTTGAGTCGGACTCTAAATTTTGACATTCGGTTAATTTGTAGAATGAAGCAGTAAATCTAACTTTGATATAAAATTACATTGAGAAAAAATAACGAAAACTTTTATAACAATAACAAACGCTACCATTAAAAAAATTTATCCAAAATGGTGCCACAAGAATTTGTGCTCAAAACAAATCTACAAAACAACGCCACAAGCTTGCCAACTGTCTATACAGTCTAATAATCTATGACATGTGTCATTTTAAAATTTCAATTATTATGCTAAACTTAATAATGTTGTTGCCTGTGTTTAATGAGCTGCACACATCATATATAAAAGAAATATCAAAATAAAAGGGATTAGAAAACAAAAGAAAGGAAGTTAATTTTGAAATGGATCTAATACATATTTAAATATATATCAAATAAGGAAAACCATTTATTTTGATACAAAAAATCAAAATTAATAAAATGCCAATTACATGATCACCGTTAGGCTAACGAAATTACATATCGAAGATCCGAGTTCGTTTTTTGGTTTTGACGGTTCAAGGCCTTAGGATTCCTGTTACTCTTTACGATCAGTATATGCTCGAAAAAATTTCCGATTTGCAGAGCTCTTATATTACTCTGAAACTTATTAAATGGCAATTCTTTAATAAATGAAATCTTGCATCCGTCTTTTTATTTTATTTTTTTTTTTATAAGAGCAGTAAAAAGCAGTTTTATGAACGAAGAAAATTAATAATAAGCTAATTTATCAAGAATTAAAATTTAACTAATTTGATTTTTAGTTTTTGTCTCTTAAAGAGAGTTTTAGTAAAAAAACTAATTTTGAGACTACAATTTGCAGTTACACTTGGATTGCGTGCGATCCCATCTTATTCGTGTTTCCATACTAGTCCTGCAAGTTCTTCTTTTCTTGGTCACAACATCTTGTACCTTTTTCCTATGAACTAAAATTGTAGTTTTGTAGTTGAAAAACTTTTGTTTCTTTGAAGTGCAAAATTATTGGATCCGAAACAAAAAATCGCCAAACAAGTAACGCAGATGTCAATTTTGAACATAATACATTGATTCTTCGTGAAGGGAATTTTACGTATACATACGCCATCTAACATTTATATGCAAATATTAATGCTGTCTTATCCACCAATCATCCAACTTGAACGTAGTGCTGCCAAAATGGCCTGACCAAAATATGCTAAAATATTTCACTTTTTTGTGATTTATAAGATGAATTTGGGTTAACAACGGAACATCTGTACCGCGAAAGTGTGCCGCGGGTGTGTTGATACTAACACAATAGTGAAAATTAAATTAAATTATGGGTTATATAATAATTTTGTTTGTTAAGCTAAATGAAAACAAAATGGGCTATATAAACAATTTGTCATACCATATAACTTTCTAAGTGAAAAAACGATATAAAATTAAATACACATTATTAAATATATAGATATATATAAGCCAGTTAAATTTTTTTAAAAGCTTAAAACTATGAAATTTTTTAAAGATAAAATCATTATTTAAAAAAATTGCTTGTTCTTTCAAGAGTAGCAACTAAAATCCAAATGCTTATTTTTTAGTATCACAATTTTTGAAAAAGAAGTTTTTTTTTCCTCACTTCAAAAGTGAAACATTCCACTTTCACAGCGGAATGTTTTTGCCAAAAATAATATTTAATTTTTGGCAAAAATATTTCACTGTGGAATAAAATATTCTGCTTTGGCAACACTGCTTGAATGCAAAGATGCGCTTTAAAATTGGACAGTTTCAAGATTTTGTATAGTAAAAAAATAATAACGACCTAATCTGATATGTTTTGACAGGCTGCAGATTCAAGATTAGAAAATAAGACAAATTTGAAAAATTGCTTTAAAATTGCATCTTTATTCTGTACACCACCATTTAATTATATGCAAGCGTAAATTTTTTTGCAGATATCAAATTTTGAAGTGCATCTTCACATCCTGATTATGTTTGCAGCTTAAAAAAATTTCTAATAAATCCATACAGTTCTTTATTTCGGGCACGAACCATTTTAAACAAGTCTTTTTTCAATCTCAGGTTCGGATTGGGCAATTTGTGTGGTAGACGAATGAGAGTTAGCCATCTATCGGATATTTTCTTTGTGTAATTTAATTTTGATAATTTCTGTATGTTTAACATTTGTTCAATCTGTACTGAATCCAAATCAAATGTAATAAATTTGAGTTTGAATTCATTTCGTTTAAAAATAAAATAAAAAGTCAATTTTTAAAAACAAAATCTTAATATATCCAAAAGTTCAAACCTGATAACCCGAAGCTATAAAAACTACATACAAAAAGATATGAAAACATACACATGTATGTTGTATTATGACATACATCTTTATTTTTAAAGTTTTGAAAACATTTTCAAAAATCGAAGCCCTTCAATGCGCTGTATTGAATTGAACTTATTCTGCATTTTTGTTTAATCCGACTCTGTTTTTTTCTCAATTACAAGTTCATTTAATAAAGATTTCAATGTAAAGAGGCTGTCACTGGAATATATTGATATGAAACTTTATTTGACATTTAAAGTTGTGACGTTTTGTCTAATTGGGATATATTTGGTTAATTATTCTTCATTTTTTATTTAATTTTATTTTATATATATTTTTTGAAATTCTTTGGCATTCGTATAATGATCATGTATATGCATTTTGGACAATTAAGTTAAAAAAATATTTTTAAAAAGGACAAAAATAAAAGGAAAATTTTTGAAATGGTTTAAAAATTGTTTTATTTGGAGAACAATAGAAACCACTGACAAAAAAAAAAAATAAGATGGATGGTAGTTTACTGTGCCGTATTTGCATAGCTGCTGATACTGATGTCATCATGATTTCAATTTTCGGTGAAGATGGATTATATCAAAAAATCAAAAGTTTTGCCAGCGTTGAAGTGAGTAAAATATTTTCTTAGAATTATAAAATAAGTTTAATGCTTAAAAATTCCCCAGATTGAAGAGGGTGACAGTCTTCCGCAGCAAATATGTATGATGTGTGCAAGGAATGGTAAAAATATTATTTTAAAATTTAAAATATTTGATGTACATTAGCTAACACAAATTTTGTAGTATTAAACGCATGTTCGTTTAAAAGAAAGTGTGAAGAGTCTGATCGTATTTATCGTAACCAACTGTTGCATAAACCATCAGTTAAGCCAATTATTGACAGTTCGAGTAAAATATCGGAAGTTAAACAAACAAATAAAGAGGTCATTGATCTTGATGAATCTGACTCGGATGACGATGACGATGATGAGAATGATTCGGACGAGGATGATGATGATGATGAAGACGATGATGGAACAGACAGTCATGCTGCAGAAGTAAAATTTACTGATGAAATCGATAAAATTGACTTAAGCAACCCAAAATATTCTGAACAGAACGATGATGATCACATGGATATTCGGAATGAATGGAACTCGCAAAGCCAGAACACAACAGATGACGATCAGTTACCGTTAATACCAGAAATAGAATTGATAACTCCAAATGAAGAAGTTAAAGTTGCTGATAGTCATATTCAAGGATACCAATGCAGTATTTGTTTCCAGATTTTTAACATGAGGTAAAGTTATTCTAATATATATTTTGAATAAAAGTATATTTTTCTAAGATAAATGAAATTTCAGAGCAACACTCAATCATCACATTAAGACATTCCATCCAGAATCCAGTCCCAGTTTTGAATGTTTCAATTGTAGGAAACAATATTTGTCGAAGCGATTTCTGGAGAAACATATTCGCCGGGGACGCTGTGTTCGCAAAAGGAAAAACACAACGTATAACCTAAATATTTTATAAAAAAATCTTTTAAATAACACAAATAATCAAAAATTTCAGGCGGCCAATGCGTTGCTCTGGTTGTAATGTCATTTTTCCAACCGGCCATCATCTAGGATGGCACAAGCGTACGGGTTGTCCGTCTAAAATGTAAATAATTTACTTTTTTAGTTATATATTTTACAAAAAAAAAATTCTTTCAGGTCGCCGGAAGATCAAAAACGAATGAATGTTACGCATGTCAACAATTTAATGTATCGTGAGAACGTCCTTAAAAAGATGTATAACTTTAAGTAAGTTTTAAAATTTAATTTTTTATTTGCTAACAATACTCTAAGATTGTCTTTCCTTATAACCTTAAAGTAAATTTCGTAAACCAAAACAAAAAGGACGTAGTCGTATTAAATTAGATGCACTGACAATATCATATGCAAAGCAATTAATTGCCCAAGATGCTACAACAAGTAAAATGGCCCAAGAACTAAATATATCGCGAACTTTTGCATGGCGTCTTCGTAAAAGCTTAATTAGTGGGACAAATTTACATTCGCAAAATGGTAATATAAATCTTAATGATATTGAAAAGCAAACCGTCCCTGTTCCTTCTGATAATAAGCAAAATAATGATAATCAACTATCGCAACAACAACAACAACAAAAAATTGAGAACGATAGCTATCTTGAACGTATCGCAAACAATAATAGTCTGGAAATGACCATGATTACAAACTCGTCTTTACTATCAGCATCAACAAAAGAGTTGTTAAAAAATACACAATTAAGTGAAGAACAAATTCAAATGATTAAAGACAACAACTTCAGTATTCCGCAAAATAGCGAAATTAGATTCATTCCAATAATACCTAAATCACATGAACCCCAAAATATTCAAATCAAAAATAATAAAATTTCAAACAATATTGAAATGGACTCGCAACAAATGCAAACGCAAATGCCTAAAATAAGTGTTGTAAGTGAAAAAGTATTAAAAGGTCAAAACGATATCGACTCCCTCCAGAAGCGAATACAAAATGTAGCCTCTCAACAATTTGTTATGAAAGATGACGATCAAGATCTTGACGACAGCGATGATGATGACGATGATGATGACGATGACAGTGACGATGTTCAAATTGATGAAAACTATCATGGACCTCAGTAAGTATATGATACTATAACCTTATTATTGTTCATATAATAAAAAAATTATTTGTGTGATATGGATGCTATTCTATTGTAGGCCTGGTTGTAGTAACAATGTTGACAATGTGAATAAAATGTTGTTTAAAATGTTGGAGTCTAAAATGTTTGATCCAAAAATGTTGGATCCGAAAAATTTGAACAAGTTGTTGGCAAAAATGTAAATAAATTAATTTTTTTTTCTTTCACATGCATTTTTTTCGCTCTTTTAAAAATTTTTTATTAATCTTTGAATAACTTTTTAGGCCTGCTGCAGGAATAAACAATTTGGATAATGAAGATTCTCAAATGTTTGATCCAAAAATGTAATTATTCTATGATAAATTTGTTGGTAAAATTAATTAATATTTATAAAAAAAAATTTAGGGCACTTCAACAATCTCTACAACAATATTCAGGTGGACGGAATAGCAAAAAACCACGAAAGCAGAATGTATTCCTAGATGAAGATAAATACGAAAGAGGTTTTAACAATTTTGATTCATTATTTTTTGAGTTAATAACATTATAGTTTTTTATATGTTATTAACTGTATTATTAATTGATTCATTATATACAAAAGTTTTTCTTTGAATTACAGCTAAAATTTTAGTTGCAAATCATGCAACAACATTGGAAATAGCCCGTGCACTAGATGTATCACAAATGAGTGCATGGAAGTTAAGAGATTCTATATTGAAGGGTATACCGTTACAGTTTCGGAAATCTACATCAACACATATACCACAAATACTACAAGTGTCACAAGTTCAGCAACAATCACTGCAACAACAGAAACTTCAGCAACTTCAACAACAGCAATCGCAACAGCAAACGCAACCGCAGCAACAACAATTGCAACAACAGCAGCAAACACAACAACAAATACAACAACAACTGCAGCAACAACAACAGCAACCGCAACAACAAAAGACACAGCAACAACTACAACAATTGCCACAGCAAGAAGTTCAAATAAAAATAGAAGATTCCCAGCAAACACAACAAGTTCAACTTCAAGCTCAATCTAGTAACAATATAAGTAACATAATTCCATTAGCAACGATAACTACAACGCCTATTACAATAACACCGACAACCGTAACCACAACACCTGTAGCAACAACATTAACATCACCATCATCATCAACAGCATCATTAAATCTTTTACAAAATGGTATTAAATTAGGTGGCAGGGGTCGTGTTAAAGCTAGTGTTAAAATTGAACGTGATAAACAAATAACTGAAATAATATTAGATTTCTTACGTGTAGATCCTAGCATTCAATATTGGAAAATAACAGAAAAATTAGCAGAAAAAGGTTTTATAATATCAACATCATCAATATGTCAAAAATTGAAAGCACTTGGATTTCATCGAAGATCAAAAGGTACTACCACAAAACAAGAATCACCAGATAATAATCTTAATAAAACATCAAATACAAGTGATGACAATAGTGGCAGTGATTTATTTGGTGCACATTTTTTAGGTAGCACATTTTCGGATTGAAAAAAAAAAAATGAACAAAAAATTATAATATAAATTTCGAAAAAAAAAGGAAAAATAAAATTACATTTGAAAAGAAAAAAAAAAATTAAAAAAAATATTCAGAAATATTTTTAAGTATAAATCAAAATTTTTTTAAATTTTTTGTATCAGATTTTAGTTATATTTGTATTATTTTATTTGGTGGAAAGAAGTTTCGTAGAAAAAAAAAAACAAAAACTAAAAAAAAAAAAAATTGATAAACTCTATTATTATCAAAAATAATTTACATATTTTTTTTTATGTATCTTACTGTCCATTTTATTTTTTAATTTAGAATATTAAAATAAAAATAAAAAAAAAAATATAATTTAATAATTTAATTACGAAAAGAGATGCTTCTTATTTTCAGGTATTTATAGTTTTAGTTTTGTAATTTTATTCGTTTTTTCTAATAGAATTTAAAAAAAAGTAAAAACTTATTATTTTAAGTTAATTTTATACTTACTTTTTTTTTTTTTGCAATATATTTTAATAGTAATTTTAAAAGATTCCAAGATTTTAAGCTTTTGATATTTTTTATATGTGCATCTATCTATTTAAAGTTATATTTTTAGAAAATATTATATGATAATTATTGATAATTTTTTAAAATTAATTTAGTTTTTATAAATCAAATACATATGTGAAAGCAAAAAATTTATACAAAATTTATTAATTACAATAAAAGTTATTTTTCCATATTTTAAAATATAAGAAATAATTCAAAATAAAAAAAAAAAATATTAAAATTATTTGCAATTGCTCTAATAAAAGATTAGATTTTTTTGATAAATATTTTTAAAAATTATCTTTTAACTAAAATTTTGGAATTTTTTTTTATAGCTTTTTACATTTAGTCTAAGATCAAATTTTGTTTTTACTTTTAAAATACTAAAATGTAATATTTCAAAAAAAAAAAAAATTAAAAAAAAAAAACAAAATTTTTCGATGAGATAATATTATTATTATAAATTAAGTATTTTCATTTTAAATGACTAATGACTTCAAATTAAATTGAGAGATAGATAAACAAAAAAAAAAAAAAAGAAACATTCCTATTTTTTTTATTAAAAGCAAAAAAAAGAAAAAGCTAAATTAAAAATTTATTAATGTAAATTTGCAAAGTAGAAAATTAAATAATCATTAAATGTAGCTATTTTATATAACAAAATATGTAAAATTATTAATGCATTTTTGTAATAGTTACGATTACTACTTTATTATTTTTAATATTTATAATAGTAAATTTGTAAAAGAGCTCATATATTTTATACTTTCTTAAATTTTTAATATTCTTTTAGAATAATTATTTGAGATGATTTAAATATTATTTAAAAATTTTGTATTTTCCAGAACAAAATTAATTTTGAAAGTTAAAATTCTATAAAGAAATTTTCAATATTTTTGATTAATAAACAAATACCTTAATTGATAAGAGTCTAACAGAATTTAATATATTTAATTGTTAAATTCAATTAAAATTAAAAGTTTATGTTCAAAAACGTAAAAACTTAAATTTCATTATTAATTTTAAATTATACAATATCAATTTATTATTATTTAATTACAGTTTAATTAAAATTAAATTTATATCGAAAAAAAATATTATTCTATATCATATCTAAAATTTAAAACAAATATTTAATTTTTGATCTTTTATTATTACTAATGTTTGTTAAATTTCAAAAAATAATAGAACTAAAGATAGCTTAGTCTAATTATGGAAAAATTAAACTGATATTGGAATTGCTTTATTTGTACAAATAAAATACAAAATTATTGATATAATTTATTTCAAACTATATCGTGATATTTTAATTACTTTTATTTGAATATCAAAAATTAACAAAATATCATAAAGTTGATTTAAAAATTAAAATTATAAAATAACAAGTAATATTTATACTTTTTTTTTTTGGCCAGTTTTCAAATTGTTATAAAAAAATAGCTACATATATAAAATTTTAAAATAAAAATAATTCATTTTTAGTTTTAAATTTAACAAAAAAAGTAAAAAAAAAATCCAAAACATTCCTCAGTGTTTTTTAAGTATTTGTATTTTTTTATTTTATTTTATTTTTTCTTCTTTTTTTTTTATGAAAAAAGAATAAGCCGGTTGTAAGATTTAAACAAAAATATAATTAAAACATAAAAAAACTGCAATATATATATATATATATATATGTATATATACAATATGTTTTATAAATCATAGTGATTTAAGTGCTAAAAAATATAATCAATATATATATATATATATATTTTTTTATCAATGTTTTTCTCATTTTCTTTTTTAACAAATTGTTTTAAATTTTTAAAATTAGAATTTTAGAATTGTATTATGTATAGTTGTCATGAAATTATGATTTGACTTTAAATAGATAAGACAAAAACATAAAAAATTTAAAATAATAAGAAGTAAAAAAAAAATATATGAACAAAAATTTTCAGAAATATAAAAACTCTATACGGAATTTTATATGAAAATTAATAATAATATGCTCGCATAAAATATGTAAAATTAGTAAAATTTTCCTATTGTATCTTTGTTTTTTTTTTATGTGTTTATTAAATGGCCATTTATTAGTTATCAGCAATTAGTTATCTTATATATTAATTTAATACAATCTTTATTTAATTGCAAATTAATTCAATTATATAACGAGATTCTCTTAGTAAAGTATCACATGTGGTAATCAGAGTTTCTTCAAAGATATTGAGGTTTTCAGTAATAAAATTTAAATTTAAAAATCGATGTTATTCTAAAAAATTACAAAATTTTTTAGAAAAACATCAATTTACCAACAATATCATTGCCGTAAGTGATTATGTCTAAAGAGAATATGGGTGATAATTTCAATTAGATAAATTTTTTTTGTAGATTAAATGGTCATTTATTTTCTATTTTTTTTTTTTTTATTATATTCTTCTGTGATTAATTTTTTGTGTTATTTATATTTTCTTTGAGAAAACTTTAAGACGGTATTAAAATATATAATTTTCTTTTTAAATATTTTTGTTCGCCACAAGCTACCCTTTCTTTTATTTTTTATAATTTTATTTTTAGTAGGAATTGGATTTTATAATTATTTCATTGAAGAAAGTTAATTAATATTTTATTATCAAGACATGTTATTGTTAATAAAATTTTATATGATGTACAGAAAAAAATTAAAAAAAAAAAAAAAATTATTGAAATATTACAATTCAAAAGAATGATTTGTTTACATGTTATATAAATACATTAAAAAAATTATATATATATATATATATTTATATCAATATACAAACATAATGTAACAAACAATAATCCTACAGCAACGTTGAAAAAAATATAAACAAAATTTAATAAAAAATAATAATAATAATTAATTAATCATTAATGATTTAAATTTATATATTAATTGAATAAGAAATAAAAAAAAAAAAAGAAAATGCAAAAAAAAAAAATTAAATCAGTATTGTTGATCAATAAAAATTACAAAATTAAAAACAACATTTTACAAAATAATTATTAAAAAATATTCTAAGATTGAAAATTTTTTTTGTTGTTTTTCAGAAGTTTTACAAAATAAAGTTGTATTAAATTTTTTTCTTTTTTTTTTTTTTACATATATATATAAAACAATAATGATTTTTTTCTTAATGTAAACTATTTAGTAAATTAAAAAAAAAAAATTTTGTAAAAGATTTTTTGTCATTTAAAGTTATTATATATATATATATATATTTTTTTTAAAGACAAACAAAACAGAATTTTAGTTCCTGTTAAATATACACAATTTATTAAAACATGCATACCATACCATACCATAATAATATTAATGATAATAATTACAATTATAGTATTGCATATATAATATAATATTTTTAATTTAAAAATTGAAAAAATTTACAAAAAAAAAAAAAGAAAAAAAGAAAATTTTAGCATAAAATATAGCATAGATTTTTAGAACTATTTGGCAATATCAGAACAAAAAAAAAATTAAAACTAAATTAAATATAAATTTAAAAAAAAATAATAATGTAAATGTAAAAATCTATTTCCGAATCAGATTTTATTTATAAAAATTTTATTTAATTAAACAATAATTATTTAATTATTAATAAAAATTTAGTTAAATACAATAATAATTAAATAAAATTTATTTAAATACATATAAAAAAATTAAATATTTTCACAAAATATTTCTATTAAAATATTTTTATAATTTCTCCGTTTTTGTAATAAAATTTTTATAAATGCTCAATTTAAATACAGATTTTATTCAATTTAAGTTTCAATTTGAATAAGATCATAATTTCAATTTCTACATTTCAGACACTTAATGATTTAACAGACGCATCACTTGAAGTGATTCGTAACTCTTATTCAAAAATATAGAGAATTTAAGTAGAAAATTTTGAAATTGATTTTATTCAAAAAAAAATTAAAAAATTTTTAATAATATCTCATCACTTCATGTAATGATTTTTTAAAAAGATTGGTGATCATTAATTATTTTTAATGTTTATTTATAAATTTTATAATATTTGATCCAATTGAATTTTGAATTTTTCAATTTTAAATTCATAGTAACTATAACCAATAATATTTTTTAGATGAAAGAGTAGGAAAAAGTACTTAAATTAATTCCATAATTTTAATATATACTCTGTTTCAATGAAATAGTTACTTGAATTTTTGTGTATTTTTTTTTAGAATCCCTAAAAATAAATAATTGAATAAAACAAAATTAATTTTAAAACAAAGTAAATAAACTTGGCTTTTAATTCTTATACATTTTTCTATGTCATTTTTTTTTTATCTCAATTATTATTAGAATAAAGTATTTTGTGAAAGTTTAATTAGAATATTTTATTAAATTATATGAAAAAATTAAATAAAATTTATAATATATTGATTTATTGGGATTAATTTAAAAAAAAAACAAAAAAGTATTTTAAGTTTTTTCAAATTGTTTTTTTTTTTGATAAAATCGATAATATACTCGAAATGTAATAAAAATTTTTTTTTATTAAATTTCAATAAGTATCTATGTTTTTATTTTATGTTATTAAAAAAAAAAATTAAGAAATTAATGAAAAATAAAAAAACTCATAAAAACAGAAATCAACGAACGCAATTTTAAATAACTAAATAAATAACAAGAATTAATAATCTTGTATTTTTCATTAATTATTCAACATAAATTTTAATTTATTTCTTTTATTATTATTTTTTTTTAATTAATCAATTATTACTTAAGATGATTATTTAAGAAATTATTTCACATTAGTAGGAAAACATTCATAAATATTTTTTTTTTTTATTTATAATTAAAATTTGAAAAAAAAATTACAATATTTTTTATACATTTATTTAAAAACAAAAAAACACACTCAAAAGAAAAAAACACATTAATTTTTTTTTTGTTTATTTAAAATTCAATATTCTTATTTTATAAAATATATTTGATAAAATTTAATAAATAAAAGAGAAAACGTTTAAAACTTTTGATCATTAAATAATAAATTAATAAAATTGTATACACTAAATATAAAAAATTAAAATTATATAAATTAAAAATTGAAATAAAATAAGGAAGTTATTGTATCTATCCCCCACATTTTAGGCACATTCACACACAATAATTGACACACCATTATTGCAAATTTTTAAATAGTAGCTTTAGATTATTATTATTTTTTTTTTGTCTAAAATAAAAATTAAAAAATAAAAATAAGAAATAAGAGGATAAAACTGGAACAAATTAAAAATATTGTATTATTTTATAGATGTTAAATTGAGAATGAACAAAAAAAAAACTAAATATATAATAAGTATATACATAATATCTTTATTTATATATATACATATATATATATTATATACTTATATGGATATATGTAGTATAATAATAATATATCAAATAATAAAATTAGTTAAGTTTCCACAATTACTTTTTTTTTTTTTTTTAAATATTATTGAATTTAAGTTAATAATAGAAATATTTTAACAAAAAAAAAAAAAAAAATTAAAAAAAAATCCTTTTTTTTTTTTTTTGAAAAATAAATAAATATTTTGATTTTAAAAAGAATTGCAATATTCTACTCTTTTCTGTTTTCTTTTATTCTAAATTTATACTTATATTTACATAACTTGATATAGCTAGTATATAATAAGATTTAATTAGTATTTGATAGTAGTATTTAACAAGATAATTTTAAAATATTCATTTTATAATCAAATTATTGAATTATGTAATCTGTAGCAATAAAGCAAATCGATAGGCCTAGACTTAATTCAAAATCAAAGATATAAAATCATATTTGAATTTTTTATATTTAATGTTATAAATCAAAAAATTTGATTATATTCGAAATATTCTAAATTGGACGAGTTTAGCTGAGAAAAATTACCCTTCAAAAAAATCGATCAATATTCATTTTAAAGAAGATTTGATTACTTACAAGTACGAGTAATTCAATGTATTTTTTCAAGAAAAATTTGTTAAATTTAAAGTAGATTATCTGATAATAGATTTTATAAATTAAGGAAAACTTGAAATAGGAAATAGTTAAATTAAATTGTTAACGCGAACGAACACTAATTTTAACAAAAAATATTTGTTATATTATTATAAAGTATAATTTTATGAAATTTCAAGACAATTTCAAGACCCAATCAAATACATAGTTAGGTTTACAGACTTATATCAAAAAAATTGATAAACGCATTTGTTTTATAAAAAAAAAACATAATTTTATTGACCGGATTTAGATTACTATAGTAATGGTTAAATAAGCTACTATTACTATCACGTTCACATAATTCAGTATCTATCAAAAAGTAGAAAATTACATGGACAATTAATCTTGATTTATTATTAGAAATTTGCTATTTTTAATAGATTTAATTTGTATTTCAAAAATTTCAGTAATTTCATAGGGATCAATCATATATTTTTGATATTTTGTTTATTTTTATTATATTGTTATTCCCATTTCCAAATTCGCATTACATAACATTATATACATCTTTTATTTAATAATATTATGCTAAATGTAAGATATTGAAAACAATATGCACAAACATGGTACTTTATGAAATCCAATTTTATATGATAAGGAAACATTGAAATATTTTTTTTGAAATAAACCTATTAGTTTCTTTAGATTTTGCAATTTGTGTTCAAATTATTATCACAAAATCCAATAGTAGATTTCTTTATCTATTAGTGTTGAAAATTCTCTTAACAAATACAAATTTTTTCTTTAGATGTTTTTAATGGTTACGAAAAAATAATCTTCTATCAAAATAGATTAGAGGTAAATTATATCTGTATTTATTTAAAATGTAAATAAAAGGAAAATCAATAAATTAATCTGTAATGATTTAGAAATTTTCTAAATTTAGTCGATCATAACCTTTGCCAAGTAATACCTTAAAATAATTTAAGGTCGTTGTACAAATGAATAATACATACGAAAATAAATTTTATCGAATTTTTATTTTACTTTATATAGTTAACTATTTTTCATTAAACTCAATTTCAAAATTTCTTATATTTACATACTTATAAATAGATTATTAATCATTTTCGCTTTTGCAAAAGAAGGAAACGTTAGTTATACTGATTATACTGATACATAACTTAATTTATAATTCTAAATTTTTTTGTTTTTCTTGACTTTCAATCCATGTTTTTGCTATTAATTTTTTTGTTTCAGCATCTCCACTTTGATACATTTTTTTCATTATATTCATTATACCAGCAGTTGGATCATCTTTTAAATCATTTGAATCATCTTTATTCATATCTTTTAGTTGGCTTAAACGTTTTTCAGTTAATGTTAAATGTGACCATTTTTGATTTTCTTCAGCTTTTTTCATATAAATTGCAACCATATCAGTTTTAACTTTTTTATAACTTTTAATAACATCTATTGGGGAATGTAATTCTTTAATTGTTAATGAGTAATTTTTATTTTTTAAATCTTCAATTCGTACAATAAGCGATGTTTTGGTAAAATCGGCTTTAACACAATCTTCTGGAATATCATGTACTCCCGGTAAAGTAATAAATATTTTAACAAATTTATCACTTTGATCCCAACCATATTCTTGAAGTTCGGTATGATATCTAAAAAAAAAAAAATATGAAAGTTAATTTAATTTTATTAATTGATAAATTAAACTTACTTCCTATTAGCTACAGCACTTGGTGTTGGACTATTTTTTATTGTTTCTTTAACTTGCAACTTAACTATTTCCGCATCAATTTTGTATTTTTCAGCTAACAGAGCATCTATTTGTAAAAAAAACCGAAAAAAAAATATTACAAAATCAGAAAGAACTTTAGTTTTATATTAAAAAATTACCTTTAACTCTTTGTCTTGTTGCTTGTGTCAGAAGTTGTTGAATTTCTTCTAGATCCTTTTGTAACTAAAAATATGGGATTTTTAATATTATTAAAAATGTTATGTGAAAATTATTAAAAATGCTATGTTATGCAAACTTACGTTTTCCATTTTTTATTTCTTTTACTTTAATATTAAATTTCTTCAATAAAAAAAAAAATTGATAAATTATAATAAGCTTAGAACACGAGTATATGAGTCGTATTTCCCCAATGCGCGAACAAAATTTAAACAAGTTTCTCGAAAATTCCTGATAAATTCCACACGAGGTTTGTCAAAAATGTATGTATGCAAAAAAACAATGAATATCCCTGCAACCAAGGAATTATTAAAAAATTAAATAAAACAAATTACGAGGGCGTGACAGTTCATTTCATTTTCAAACATCTTATCAATGTCCATACTACGAAGCTACACCTATACCTTAATAAACGAATATAAACTCTATCTTAATTTGATAGTTAAATCTACAATAACACATAACAAATGACATTTTCTTTTTTTTGGGTTTTTTTGGATAATTATTGCTTCAATATAAATTAAACAAAATAATTGTTAAACTTATTTTTTATACAAATTGCCAAGTGAGAATTTTTTTTTTAGTACAATAATTCACAATATTTTTTTAAATAATTTCATTTGTTTCATCAAATTCACAATATTGAAATTTTATATCGATTTCCTTTGTGTCTTTTGAAAAAGAGGAAAAAGAAAAATGAATAGGCTTTGAATTTGAATTTTTTGAAATACTACGCTAAAACATGTATAAAATAAAAAAAATTGTGATTAAAATTTAAATTGCTATTAATAGGAAATAAAAAAAGGAAGCGTTTAAGTGATGAAATAAGTTGAAAAGTTTGAATAAATAAATCAATGAAAGGAGTAATTTAATGGTACTTTCACGATTTTTAATAAAAGAAATGGTAGCTGTGGCAAATATATGAATGGTCTTGTACATATATTCATTAAGGTACAAAGTGAGTAGGTAATTAGATGCACCAATATTTATCACATCTTTAATTAAAAAAAAATATTTTTAATTAAATTGTATCTCTGAGTTCCGTATCAAAAAACAAAATGTTTTTACTGTTAAGGTTCAATTTCCATACGGCATTGCATGTCGAAAGCTTTGGCTACAATGTCACACTTTTCAAATTGTAAAAATACTGTTTTAAGCATAGAAACACAACTATTGCCATTAAACTTTTGGATACAGTGTAAACGCTTTATAAAATTGTTTTTTAGATATGAAACTCAAGGTATGTATATCCGTAGGTACCTACATAAGAGAAAATTAAGGGTTTAAAATTGCGTTTCGTATTAGATATTTAGACGAAGTAGGTTTTCTTCAAGCATCTCTTCTGTATTTGATTTGAATTGTTTAAGGAAAACTCAGTCTTTTATGTTATTTTCATGCTTTTTATACAGCGTTCTCCTTGTATACATAATATATTAATATACGAAAATAAATAGTTTTTATAAACAATATCAATATTATGTTGAATAACTTTATTACTAATAAATTATTGTACATTAAAATTTATTGCATTTACACAATTCCTTTATGAATAACAAATACATATATATGTTTATAATTTATTTTACGGAATAATAAATGTTATTAAATATTAATTATATTTTATAATTAAAAATGTATTTTTTTTAATTTATTAACATTTAAATTGTTGTATAAAAATATACCTATATAGTTTTCAAAATGCTGCAGATAATAGTATAATATTTGCCATTTAGTGCTTGCTCATTAATTTCTTTATCATAAAAACCAAAGTGAATCCAATAAAAGCTGCTGCACATGCCATAGCAATTTCCCTAAATAGTTTTAAATATATGAAATGTTAAGATTAGTAAAAAATAATATTATCTTAATAATGAATCAAAAAATACAAAATTACAACCTTAAAATTCGTTAAAAGCAGAATGATTAGACGGAAAAAAGTTTAAAATAAAAAAATTAAAATACTGGTTAGACAATTTGATAATGTGTTTTTAGGCAATTATACAACTTTTAGAACATTCATTTGACCTGAAAAATTAATTATATAAAATTTTTTCAAAATTTCAAGTTAATTTAAAGAATTTTATGTCACATCAAATCACATTTATATAGTGTTAGTGCTTTACTTGTACATCGCTTATTTTCTGACACCATAATCAAAAGTATTTCTTCTCCAGGTCTATTTTTGTCTGTGACAAATTTTATTAGTTAAAAATACAATATGTATAAAACTGTAACCTTTTAGTGTGAATATCAAAGTGATTAATTATTATTAGAATTAATGGTTAGAACTATTCCTTTTTTAATAACGTTTGCATTCTGTAATTTTTTGTGATTCGAAATAAATACTTTTCGAAATTGTTAAATTTTCAACAAATATCTAGCTTAGCGTTGCTAATTAGTTTTATGCAGTTTTCAATGAATATTTTTTCACAGGGGTTAAGTTATTGTAATTCATTTGTTGCAGATTTGTCTCTCAATTTAACTACATAACACTGTTTGGTTCTTAAAATACAATACTAATAATTATTTTGTTAAAGAAATTGATTTTTTGTTTTGGAAAGCAAGTAGATGTTTGGTCTTCCTTTATGTCTCATAAATACCTATTTAAGATTGATTAATCAATTGAATAATTTAATAAATTCTAATGTGCTTACAAGAATTTCAGAATATGTACTACTTAAGTATACCAATAATAATATACAAAATGCCTACATATGTGTGAGCTGAATTTTAAATTATATTGTAAGTGAAACACATATCAAATTTATTTTCTAATAAATATCACCTAAATTTAAATTGTTCATTATATATGCTATTGGTGTATTATTAATTTATTTATTAAAAAAAAAAACTAAAACATGCAAAGCTTTTGGATATTTTTTTTACGAAAACATAGATACATAAAAAAAAAAATAATTGATTTTTGTTTACCTAACTGGCATTGATGATTCAATTTTCTCCAAATCTCCAACATAGTATTTTGTCATCATATTTCTAATAAGCAAAGGTTTTTTATTTAAATTTTTTTTTTCTTAATCACATAAATTTGATATTTTAATTACTTTGCATCCTCGCTATGACCAACATCATTAAAATCTTTTGTACCATCTTTTCCACCTAATTCATCTAATACTTCTTCTCCACCAGGATGCTGTAATAAGAATATATATATTTTTTTTTAATTTTATTAAATGATTTTACAAATAGGAAACTACATACTACGTAATAGGCTGATGTCTACCTAAAAAGTTGTTGAGGTAGGTAAGGGAGTAGATGAGGCAATTTGGTGTGTATATACCTATTTACTCAGGTGTTTACTAAACAGTATATTTATTTACATAAGTGCATGTATACATATATTTTTACTAAATAATTTTATTAATAAAAATCAATATGATAACAAAATTTGACACTTTAAAGTCTTATAGGTTTTTGCAGTTAGGAATTTATTACGGTTACGGTAGGAGTTTCTCATATTGTAATTCCTTTATAATTTAACACTTACCGTTCTCTTTTGTTAACTTTATTTTATAAATTATAACAAGTCATTCTACTAATCATTTTTTAAACATTACATATAAATATATGTACCTACTTATTTCTATATGTATATTAATATCTACATACACACATATATCTTATCTATATTACATAGAATCAAACATGTGTCCCTTTCCTATATATTTTTATATGAATAACTTTTATATTTTTACCTCAGCACGAAATTTTGTCAAATCATACACCTTTCCTTCAATAATAATCCATAAATCTGTAGAACTATTATGTTTTTTAACTTCATCTAAACTTAATACTTTTGCAATCGACATTATTTTTTTTTAATGATTTTCAGAAATTAAAAAAAACACTTTCACTTAATTCTTCTCTATTTTATAATGTTTTTATGACTTTGTTTGTCATTTGTGTTGCAAATTATATGTATGTGTATATATTATGCAAATTATATGTATGTGTGTATATAAATCCCTCTAAAATTTAAAATTGACATTTTGTATGTCATTTAAATGGAAGTAAAAATGCGCATTCACAATATTGTTTCTAATTTCATTTTCATTTGTTTCGTTATAGTATTAAAATTTTGTTTCAATTTCGTTTGGTTTACTTTTGAAGTTTACTAAAAAATTAAAAAATGAAGAATAACAAAATTAATTTTTTTTTTGAATTTTTAAAATAACTGGATTTATTTTAATATTAATAAAAATATTTTGAAGAAGTACTATTTTTGAAAATTATTGCAAAAACGAAGGTTTTGAACAATATAGCAATTGAGTATTCCAGGATGATGAAGAAGAATGGTATTAAAATCTCTCATTAAAGAAAAATCTTTAATTTTTATTAAGCTGCCATATCAGACTAGTTTTGTGGCTTTTCCTTTTGCAATATACACACGTTTATACATACATGTACATAAAGGATGTACATTTGTAAGTAGTGCGATTAAATTAAAATTTTTTTTTTAATATTTTTAGGTAATTATCAACAGATTTACGCATGAAATCGATTTAATATTATATGTAGAAGATGAAAAGGAAGTTTTAAATAAAATTCTTGTTATTTTTTTTTAAATTAATAATAAAGTTTTTATTTTTTTTTTCTTTTTATTTTATATAATTGTAACATAAATTAGAGCATTATTAAAATAAAAAAAAAACATTTAAATATTAATATATATATATGTATATATATATATATATATACATATATACATATATGTATATATATATATAATATCAACATTACACTAGTAATTATTACAGTAAATAATTAAAAAAAGAAAAAGTTGCAAAATAAAGTGTTATACAAATACAGTTATAAAATCAGACTTTATTAATTTTATATAAATTTTCATATATTTATGTATATATATATATATGTATTGTAATTGTTAGTTAGCATATAATACAGAAAAACTTATAAATATAATAATTATATATATATATTATTATATTATATATAAGTTACAAGAAAAAAAAAAAAACAAAAAAACTTAAATTTTATTTGGAAATTAAAATAAGACTAATATTTATATATAGGTATACATACATATGTATGTGTATACATTTACTCATATATATTGTATACAATGTAAATATTTTTTTTATTTATTTTGCCAATTCTGAAATTTCATTGTGAAAATATAACTAATTACATAATATTATACTTATATAAATATTTTTCTTTTCTACAAATTTTTTTTTTTTGTTTTTCGATTAATCGATTAAATTGTTCTTTATTTCCAATTTTATGTTTGCTTTATTTTTTTTTTGAAATTTATATTTTAATATTACAATAATAGATTATTATAATTACGTTTTCTTTTTTTTTGTGTTATTTTTTGGTTTACATAATAAACGTTTATTTCATTTTGCTAAAATCAAAACAATATAATTATGTGTCGTTTAATTATATTATAATTGTAAGGGATCTCATTTTCAAAATCGGTTATTAAAAATTTTTTTTTTACAAAATCAATTTTGATCCATAAAATTTTTAAATTAAATTTTTCTTCTATTAATTTTGTATTCGTTCTTGTTTATAGAGTTTTAATTTTAATATGTTAATGTTATATTCATTACATTTCTAACTTTCACATTGTTAGGTCTTTTAAAATATTGAACTTTTTAAAATAAAATAAATAGTCTAGAGAAATAAAATATTTTTATGCATGTTCATTAAGGTTTTTGATATTTTTTTTTCCAAATATTAATAACATAAAAATTAAAGATTTTACTAATTTTTATCTATTATATTTTGTATATTCGTACAAGTGTTGTGGTTATAATTATTATGATAACCATTACCTTTGTCTATAATAATATAAAATAATTTTATCAACCAGAAATTATAAATGAGATCGATGGTTAAATAATAAAATATTAGATTTTTTTCCAGTATAACAAATAATTGAAAATGTTATTTGTGAGACTTTAATTATGTATTTTTTTTTTGTTATTAATTTCACTAATTTATATAAATATATGTTATATATATATTTATATATAGAAACAATAGTATATCATAGTATATTCTATTTGTTTCTACATATATATACATATGGGAACATATATATTTATATATAACTTTTGTTAATCTTAATTCTTTATAAAAATTTGATGCTTTTTGTTTTTTTTTTTCAATTTTACATACATAATCTAGTATAAATATATCAGCCAATTTTAATTTAAAATTTTCTTTGTTTTATTTTGCTTAATATAAAAGTATTTACGTGTTTTTTTTCTTTTTGAATAAATATTTTTTTTTTATCTTTTACAATATAATAATTATTATTTTTTCCTCATTTAATTTTTAATTCTAAGAGCACCATATTATTTTTTTCTTTTTTTTTTCCTTTTTTCTTTGTTTATTTTAATATTTATATTAATATATGTATTAATTTTTTATAGGTATTTTTATTTTCTTTTTTTTACTAAGTTAATGTTATTTTTTTTATTGTTTGGAGATAAATCTTAATTATTATTTAGTTTATAAGTATATATGTATACAAAATACAAATTAGAGACGTACACTAAAAATATGTTTTTAATTTCTATAATTATTTTTAAGATAAATTTCATAATATATATCTACATTTATTTTATATTAATATTTATATTTTATATACGAATGTAAATGTATGTATGCATAAATAATTATAAATTAGGTATTTATAATATTAAAAGATTCGATAAAAATAAAATGGCATTTTATGTTCTTCTTAAATTTTTATAAAAAAAGGTTCTGTTTGACAAATATAACAATTTAATAGAATGTAGATATAACAATTTAAAATTAGTTTAATAAATTACAACAGGATATATAATAATATATCATGTTGTAATTTATTAAATTCATTTGTTTATATTTTTGAAAATAAGTGATATTGCTTCAGTGTACGACATTAAATTTTTAAATAAGTTTACTTCAGTATGAAGTATACTTATTTATAAATTACTTAGTAATGAAAGAGGAGTTCAAATTGTATTTTTTATTTATATTTGAAAGGAAATGTTCGAATTAATAACTATTGTTAAATCAATAGTGTATGATAAAATTGTTATTTGTGCAAATAATATTAATTAATATTAATAATAAATTAATATTAATAATATTAATATTGTGAATATTCATGTAATATTTTAAAAATTTGAAATAAGATAGGCCTTTTTTTATAATTAGTCTTATTTATTATCATTCTACTTTATTATAAATACATTATAATTATAATAATATTATACATTTTGTAATTATATATTTTATACATACACACATATATTGTTAATATACTCGTATTAAGGGACTATAATATGTAAATTTTTAAAACTAGTATTTTAATTTAAATATCATACAATTTTTTCATGTTTTTTAATACATAATTATTCTATATATTTTATGTATTTAATGTTGATGTTGTATTTCTTGTGTTATGTGTTTGATATCATAATTTTGATATTGTAAATATGTATAAATTATGATTTTATGTCATGTTATTATGTATAATATTGTTATTTGTTTTGCATATCATATTTTATTATATGTATAAGTAATTATTTTTCAAATTTATATTGTTATAATCTATATATGTTATACATTATAAATAATATATATATATATATATATATATATATATGTATTAGAGTAATTAAAATTCTTTTTTTTCTGGTTTTTATTAAAAAGTGTGTGTTTTTGTTGCAATTGTTATTTATATATATATAAAAAAAAAATTGTTTTTGTTTTTATTTTTTTTTTTGTTTTTTTTTTTTAATAATTTCGGAAATTAATATTGCAGTGCGCTCTGTTTATAAATATGATTATATGTATACATTTTTTGAATTTATTAATTAATGTAAATAATAAGATATTTTCTGATATATTTTGAAAATTTTTATTATTAATCATACACATATATGTGTACATATTCATATAAATATATAATATATGTACCATGTATAGATGTTAAATTAAAAAAAGAAAGTATGTATGTATATGAATAGTTAAAAATATTCTTAATTTCATTCATTTTATATTTTGTTTGCTGCTATTTTTTTTATATATTATTTTCATTCAATTATTTTTTATTCAGTATAACATTTTGTGTAGGGGGATGAAAATTTCCATTTAGTTTACTTAAAATTAAATATATAACATAAATATATAACATATTTATTGCATATATGTATATATATATATTTATATATATACTACACGCTTTATACTTAATATTATAATGTTAAGTTAAGTTTTTTTTTTTAAAATATAATATATGTACAGTGTTATTTTAAGTTGAAAACTTAGAAATTATATAATATAGAGATTTACAAATAAAAGAAAATACAATATAAATTATTATTTATTGTATGTTTATATAATATTTGTTTGAGCATTAAATTCTTAATTTTATATAATTATAATATTTTAGTAACTAATAATAATTATATATTAAATTAATTTTAAAAATGAAATTATTTATAGTATATGTTTACATAATAAATATTTATAGAGAATATTTTATGCTCAAGAAAGTTATAATAAATAATTATTTAAATTTTTTTTTACATAATTTTTTTGTATGTAAGTTTTAAAAAAGTATGTACTTTTTTTTTGCTATATATATATATGTTTATTTGGTTGATTTTGTTTTTTTTTTCATTTTTACTTTTTTGTTTTTGTATGATTCACTTTTTGGTGGTTGTAATGATTTCAATGTGTTTTATATTTGAAACAATTATGAAACCAATACTAATAATTAAAGGGAAAATAAAATGAGAAAAATTTACAAAATAATTATAAGAATAATATATAAATATGTACTTATATAATGTGATAATTTTTTTTTTTTACTAAGCAATTTTTTTTTGTATTTGATTTTGATTTTTTCAATTTATTTTTATACAT